TATCTGTCTATCTGTCTATCTGTCTATCTGTCTGTCTGTCTATCTGTCTATCTGTCTGTCTGTCTGTCTGTCTGTCTGTCTGACCAAAAGGAAAGTTCCAAATTTGACAGAGCTCCCTCAGGTCGGTTTCATTGCATGTGTATGTTAAGTACAAGAAAAGTGTTCTTTGAAACCGGACTTTAAGCCTAAGTGATTGAAAAATTGGGATCTTGAATAAACACCAACCGTAGTGTCGCCTCTGAGCCTACTTGTAGTTGTCACAGTTTGAGGAGTAGCCTGCTTTTTGTTGTCACAGTTTAAAGACTAGCCTACTTTTAGTTGTCACAGCTTGAGGCGTAGCCTAATTTTTGTTGTCCCAGTTTGAGGAGTAGCCTTCTTTTTCTTGTCGCAGTTTGAGGAGTAGCCTTCTTTTTCTTGTCACAGTTTGAGGAGTAGCCTTCTTATTCTTGTCACAGTTTGAGGAGTAGCCTAATTTTTGTTGTCACAGTTTGAGGAGTAGCATTCTTTTTCTTGTCACAGTTTGAGGAGTAGCCTAATTTTTGTTGTCACAGTTTGGGGAGTAGCCTTCTTTTTCTTGTCACAGTTTGAGGAGTAGCCTAATTTTTGTTGTCACAGTTTGGGGAGTAGCCTAATTTTTGTTGTCACAGTTTGAGGAGTAGCCTTCTTTTTCTTGTCACAGTTTAAGGAGTAGCCTTCTTTTTCTTGTCACAGTTTGAGGAGTAGCCTTCTTTTTCTTGTCACAGTTTGAGGAGTAGCATACTTTTTGTTGTCCCAGTTTGAGGAGTAGCCTACATTCTGCTGTCACAGTTTGAGAAATATCCTACGTGTAGTTGTCACAGTTTGAGGAGTAGTCTACATTTTGCTGTCACAGTTTGAGAAATATCCTACTTGTTGTTGTCACAGTTTGAGGAGTAGCCTACTTTTTGCTGTCACAGTTTGAGGAGTAGCCTAATTTTAGTTGTCAAGTTTGAGGAGTAGCATTCTTTTTCTTGTCACAGTTTGAGAAGTAGCCTTCTTTTTCTTGTCACAGTTCGAGGAGTAGCCTAATTTTTGTTGTCACAGTTTGGGGAGTAGCCTTCTTTTTCTTGTCACAGTTTGAGGAGTAGCCTAATTTTTGTTGTCACAGTTTGGGGAGTAGCCTAATTTTTGTTGTCACAGTTTGAGGAGTAGCCTTCTTTTTCTTGTCACAGTTTGAGGAGTAGCCTAATTTTTCTTGTTACAGTTTGAGGAGTAGCCTTCTTTTTCTTGTCCCAGTTTGAGGAGTAGCCTTCTTTTTCTTGTCACAGTTTGAGGAGTAGCCTTCTTTTTCTTGTCACAGTTTGAGGAGTAGCCTTCTTTTTCTTGTCACAGTTTGAGGAGTAGCCTAATTTTTGTTGTCACAGTTTGAGGAGTAGCCTTCTTTTTCTTGTTACAGTTTGAGGAGTAGCCTTCTTTTTCTTGTCACAGTTTGAGGAGTAGCCTTCTTTTTCTTGTCACAGTTTGAGGAGTAGCCTAATTTTTGTTGTCACAGTTTGGGGAGTAGCCTTCTTTTTCTTGTCACAGTTTGAGGAGTAGCCTTCTTTTTCTTGTCCCAGTTTCAGGAGTAGCCTTCTTTTTCTTGTCACAGTTTGAGGAGTAGCCTTCTTTTTCTTGTCACAGTTTGAGGAGTAGCCTAATTTTTGTTGTCACAGTTTGGGGAGTAGCCTTCTTTTTCTTGTCACAGTTTGAGGAGTAGCCTACATTTTGCTGTCACAGTTTGAGAAATATCCTACTTGTTGTTGTCACAGTTTGAGGAGTAGCCTACTTTTTGCTGTCACAGTTTGAGAAGTAGCCTACATTTTGCTGTCACAGTTTGAGAAATATCCTACTTGTAGTTGTCACAGTTTGAGGAGTAGCCTACTTTTTGCTGTCACAGTTTGAGGAGTAGCCTACATTTTGCTGTCACAGTTTGAGAAATATCCTACTTGTTGTTGTCACAGTTTGAGGAGTAGCCTACTTTTTGCTGTCACAGTTTGAGAAGTAGCCTACATTTTGCTGTCACAGTTTGAGAAATATCCTACTTGTAGTTGTCACAGTTTGAGGAGTAGCCTACTTTTTGCTGTCACAGTTTGAGGAGTAGCCTACATTTTGCTGTCACAGTTTGAGAAATATCCTACTTGTTGTTGTCACAGTTTGAGGAGTAGCCTACTTTTTGCTGTCACAGTTTGAGAAGTAGCCTACATTTTGCTGTCACATTTTGAGAAATATCCTACTTGTAGTTGTCACAGTTTGAGGAGTAGCCTACTTTTTGCTGTCACAGTTTGAGAAGTAGCCTACATTTTGCTGTCACAGTTTGAGAAATATCCTACTTGTTGTTGTCACAGTTTGAGGAGTAGCCTACTTTTTGCTGTCACAGTTTGAGGAGTAGCCTACTTTTAGTTGTCAAGTTTGAAGTCTTCCCATGGAGGGGCAAGGAATTGTTCTATCGCAACAATGGGCATCAGTGACATCACATCATTAGGGTAGGGCAGGGACTTCATTACCGATGACGTCGACTCGACGTCACGGTCACCCACTTTCAATTACCAAGGACGTCACATCGTCGTCTTAACAAAATTTAAGAACTTTTCTGAAACACCAAGGGCGTCATGTTGACTTCAAATTTCAATATATATATTTTCTTATTCGTTAATATATATTATATATAGATATATATATATATATATAGATATATATATCTAATATATATCTAATATATATATATATATATATATATATATATATAGATAGAGAGAGAGAGAGAGAGAGAGAGAGAGAGAGAGAGAGAGAGAGAGAGAGAGATATATATATTATATAAATATATATATATATATATATATATATATATAATATATATAAAATATATATATATATATATATATATATATATAGAGAGAGAGAGAGAGAGAGAGAGAGAGAGAGAGAGAGAGAGAGAGAGAGAGTGGTTAAAAAGCGGATCGGAATGAGAATGAATTATACCGAAAATTTCATCCTTTAAGTTTTTTGTTGCTGAGTCAGCAAAAATCGATGACCCCAAAAACCCTGCGGTAATGAAGTGGTTAATTGATATGTACCTGTCGCCTTAAGTAATAAATACCAAGTTTTTTTTATCCCCCTCTCCCTCCCTGATAAAACCACGAAATGGTGCCACTGATGGGCATAGTCTGTAGAAGCTGATTTATCATGTTCATCTTGCGGAACTGATATACTATTATATTATACCAGGCAAGTCAACATCATCCTCATGAAACCATTCAGCACTTAAAATGGTTTGACATGTAAGTTAAACAGTTCTGGAATGGTTGGAGTGAATATAAATTTGTTTTTGTTTTGTTTTTACCCAGCTGTTTTTTTTAATTAATAAATTTATGTTATTTTCTTAATGTCGTGATTATGTTTACTAAATTTAAGTGCAGCGCGGTGAGCCCAGCCCTAGGCTGAGGTACCGCGCTATATAAGACCACTGTAATAATAATAATAATAATAATAATAATAATAAATTAGAAGCATTGTCAGTGTGAGTAATAATTGCTATAAGCTCTCTCTGTCTTGTCTCCTCGCAGTTACTCACATTGGTCGAATCCTTGTTTGTTGAGGAGCAGGTGGTTATTTCTTATGTTCGAGAGGCATTGTCGGTGCTGTTGACCATGCTTTTTCAACATGACGTGTGATGAAAAATAGATGTTACAGATTTTGCAAATTTGTTCAAGCAGCGATGTTATTATTGTTGCACACTTTACTTTCCCCTTATTAACAAAATAACATATTCATACTCTAGCAATATCATTTATCTTGACTGCACACAAAACTTGAACCGTGTCTTTGTTCCATACCTGCAACATATTCGCAAACATACCGCCCTAGTCATTTGCGACAAACAGAATCTACAGGTGAAGAGGTTAAAATGTAGACTTCTCTTGCACTAACAAATTTTACTAACATTCTGACCAGCCATCTGCAGTGCACAGACAGACTCACATTAAATCCATCTTATATTGTCAGTAAATTTTTAAGATTAAAATTTTAAGGGAGAAAACATGATTGTTGACGTCAATTAATCTAAACCCTTGTCAACAACTGTCAAACATTTCCAATCTCCCCTCCCCCCCCCCCCATTTTGTTGTCGTAATTAATGGTCGCCCCCACTTGTCATAGTTTGAGATGTAGCCTACTTGTAGTTGTTGTTCAATGAAGGAGGTGGATCCCCATCACACAGTGAGAAATGCTATCAACATCTTGCACTGTAAGCATCACAGCGAGAATTGCTTATGTGGGAAATTAATTGGCAAATGGTCAGCCCTAATACGGCACTGTGTAGGGTGATCAGAGATAGAGCAGTACTGTGCTATTTATTTTAGCGTCAGTTTATATTTCTAAAATTAAGGATATTTTAATTTTTAATTAATGTTTTAATTCGTGCTAAAGTTATAACTACAAAAAAAAACAAAAACAAAAAAAAAAAAATTATTTTTAAAAATACCATATTTCAAAGGCTGGATCAGTATGATTGATGTTTTTTTTTTTTTTTAAATGATTTCAGTTGGAAAAATTTTTTAATTAGCGAACGTTTTGGTTTATTTATAACTACAAAAAAAAACAAAAACAAAAAAAAAAAAATTATTTTTAAAAATACCATATTTCAAAGGCTGGATCAGTATGATTGATGTTTTTTTTTTTTTTTAAATGATTTCAGTTGGAAAAATTGTTTAATTAGCGAACGTTTCGGTTTAAGTACGGAGTAACTGAACGAATTAAGTCGTCATCTGAGCACCTACTGTATTTCGTATTCATTAAGTTCAAAATTCAATTTGAATATTAAGCCCCTTTAAGATAACAAAAATAAATTTTTAAAAGGAGTGACAAATCTGGTTATTTCTGTCTGTGCACATCGCTTTCTTTGAGTCTTTTTTTTAATTTTTGTTCAAATAAGCATTCATTTATTGTTTTTGGACTAAAATTAATGCAATTAAAAAGTGTCCGGTACAGCAGCCGAACAATTTCCGGTCTCAAGGGATGTTGGGTATTTTGGTGTTAAAATCTTGAATAAGGAAATGAAAATCACAACCAAAATGGCAGATATTTAATGTTGTATTTCCACTCAGATCTGTCTTATGCAATGAAATTCACGATACATTAAGAATTTATTGTTAAAAGCTGTTATTTATTTCAAATTGTGAAATGGAATATTTAGTTATTTCACACTTTGGATTGCTTTTTGCAGCCATCATGATGGGTAAGTCACTATCACTGACAGCTTTTTTTTGGTAGATCGTTTTAGTTTTAATGTAGCTTGTTAACAGTCAATTGCCTAGCTATGATGTATATTTCCTGCTGTGAAGGATAAAAATAAATTGTTGCAGATTTTATTCATTAAAAAAACACCAAATGTTAAGTTTGATAAATCAGTCCATAAATTTGTCATAAACTGAAATAATTTTGTAAACTTAAATTTACTAGATTTTTGGCAGAACCAATGTTTTTTTGGGCTTTGCAATGTAAATTTAGCTGGCCGTGTCTTTAAAAGTTTAAGATTTGTATCATTAACGTGAACATTCTATTACAGGTATGGTGATCACAAGAATTAACTCTTTGGAACTAAGCGATCGTCTTGATTACAGTTCTGATGGACAGATTGGGACCAGCGCCACTATTGGATGCAATTGGGTTAAGACCGATTCAGAAAATGGATTGAACTTAGGAGTAGTCACACCCAGCAATAAAACATTTTTATCTTATTTTCCGGCTGAGCAGAGTCTGAGGAATGGTATTAACTTCCATTCACGGCTTGTTTTAACAAATACAAGCACATCCTTAACAATGACAATCATGAACATCTCTTGCTCAGATATAGATATTTATATCTGTAGGATGCGTTATTTTTCAGACAGTGGCCTAAGCCTAATGGAGAAGAATTCAACTGGACGTCTGGTTGACATTAAAAGTAAGATCAATTGTTATTTTTGTTTGGCTTTAAAAGTTTGATGAAAAAAAATTTGACCTTTTTGTTTTTTTAATTAAAATCTTTTAGTTGCTAAAATTGCTTTTAACTTTTAGTAGAATAAGCCTCAATTCCTCAAGATATTTATAATAAAATAATTTAAAGTTAAAAAAACCATTTGATCCTTTCAGTTCCTCCACAAGTTCCAGTGATGACGCCACCCCCATTGCTTGTAGTATCAGAAGGATTAAATATCACATACAAATGCCTGGCCAATCTGGGACGGCCAAACAAAGGTCAAATTGTGTGGAATGCTTATGTCAACGGACAGAAAATTGAGCTTCCTTTGAAACCAATTGTGAAGGAAACAAGTGGTAAGTAATATAATTACTATTGATTTTAAGTACTGTAAACACTCCTTATTGAGCCTGTTCGCTCATAAGCAGACACCTGGCTTTTGAACAAGTATATGCAAAGGTTACTATGTTGTTTTTTTCTCGTGGGAGATGCTGATCTTCTATTGAGCGCCTCCCCAGCCGGCGGATAGGGGAAAGCCCGCCAGATATGGAGGGTACCGGGGAAATAAAATACCCGGGGTGGACCAAAATCAGCCCTACTGCCTTGTAGGAAGTGGAGGGATCCACAAAGGCTAGGGACCTAACCCGAACAAAGGCAGCTACCCATTGAGCTGTGAGGGGCAACCCCCCAAGTGGTTGTGCGCAAGGCCAACAACCCTGCCATGTAAAAAATCATAGTTACAAAAGCACCGAAAAGAGTAACAAAAGACATTTCAGTCCTGGGAGAGGATGGATTCCTTGAGGAGGAAAATATGACGCCTAATAGTGAAAGCCGAAACCTGGAAGCTATTAAGCCGACAACCATCATCTCTACCAGGACTACCACCGTCATTGGCGCTTGGAATGTCCGCACCATGTACGAGGCTGGTAAAGCGGCACAAATAGCCGCTGAGATGAGGAGCTATAAGCTCACCATTCTCGGAATTAGTGAAGCAAGATGGACTGGATGGGGACAGAAGAGATTAATCTCAGGAGAGATGGTGATATTTTCGGGACACGAAGAAGACAATGCCCCACATACCCTGGGTGTTGCTATGATGCTATCAAGGGCAGCACAAGGAGCACTCATTGGATGGGAGGCCCATGGACCTAGAATTCTTTTAGTAACCTTTCGAACAAAGAAACGTAACATCAACCTAGAAGTTATACAATGCTACGCACCAACTAATGAAAGTGATGAAGGAGACAAAGAAGAATTCTACAATAGAGTAATGACCATAGTCCAGGGTCGTCCACGGAGGAACATCGTCATCCTCATGGGAGACTTTAATGCCAAGATCGGCAAAAGCAACACAGGGTACGAAGAGGTTATGGGACAGCAAGGGATAGGCGAGATGAACGACAATGGTGAGAGGTTTGCGGACCTATGTGCCACAGCTGACCTGGTCATAAGGGGGAGCATTTTCCAGCACAAGAGGATTCACAAAGCTACATGGGTCTCTCCGGACATGAGAACGATGAACCAAATAGACCATGCATGTATTTGTAAAAAATTCAGGCGATCTCTCCAAGACGTAGGTGTTAAGAGGGGAGCTGATATTGCCTCAGATCATCATCTTCTTGTGGCCAGGATGAAATTAAAACTAAAGAGACATTATACCGAGCAAACTGCATACAGGACGCTGTATAATACCTCCCTCCTGAAGGACCAAGCCAAAAAGGAAGAATTCAGAATCTCATTATTCAATAAGTTCCAAGTCCTACAAGAAATACTTGAAGATGAAACCACCGAAGGAAAGTGGCAAAGCATGAAAGAAACAGTCCAGTCAACATGTCAAGAAGTGCTAGGAAACAGGAAAAAGGCACACAAAGAATGGATGACAGCAGGTACGCTGAATAAAATAGAAGAAAGGAAAAGAAAGAAATCAGAAGTGAATAACAGCCGCACCCGAGCACAGAAAAACAAGTCCCAGAAGGAGTATGCAGATGCAAATAAGGAAGTTAAGAAAAGCATCAAGAGGGACAAGAAGGAATTTGTTGATAAACTTGCTAAAGAAGCAGAGGATGCAGCTCACCAGGGGAACATGAGGGAACTGTTTGATACCATTAAGACGCTGTCAGGGAAATTTAGCAAGGTAGAGAGACCAGTGAAGGACAAAATGGGAAACACCATACCAAGTGAGGAGCAACAGAGAGGGAGATGGAAGGAGCACTTTGAAGAGCTCCTGAACAGGCCTGAACCAAGAAATCCACCAGATATCCAACCAGCCGATAATGACCTGCTAATTGACTGTAATAGTCCCACCAAAGAAGAGATTAGCAGGGCCATTAAACAACTCAGAAATGGAAAGGCTGCGGGACCTGATGGCATCCCAGCAGAGGCACTGAAGGCGGACCTGGAAACCAGTGTGGAAATGCTACACCCTCTGTTTATGAAGATATGGGAAGAGGAGCAAGTTCCTTCCGATTGGAAAGAGGGATACCTTATCAAGATCCCAAAGAAGGGAGACTTAAGCTCCTGCTCGAACTACAGAGGGATCACCCTGCTGTCCATCCCAGGAAAGGTTTTCAACCGTGTACTACTTAACAGGATGAAAAACGCTGTAGACCCTCTGTTGCGGGACGAACAAGCCGGCTTTCGCACCAACAGATCCTGCACGGACCAGATAGCGACACTGCGCATCATTCTAGAGCAGTCACTAGAGTGGAACTCGCCGCTCTATGTCAACTTTGTTGACTATGAAAAAGCCTTCGACAGTGTTGACAGGCAAACCCTGTGGAGATTGCTAAGGCATTACGGGGTGCCACAGAAGATTACTGATATAATCAGAAACATGTACGAAGGGATAAACTGCCGAGTTATCCATGGCCAGCAGTTGACAGATGCTTTCCAGGTGAAGACTGGTGTGAGACAAGGTTGCTTGCTGTCACCATTCCTCTTCCTGTTAGCCATTGACTGGGTGATGAAAACATCTACACAGCAGAAAAGGAATGGCATCCAATGGACCTTGTGGGATCAACTGGATGATCTTGACTTTGCTGATGATCTTGCACTTCTTGCACATACCCAACAACAGATGCAGGAGAAAACAAACATTGTCGCAGCCACTTCTGCTAGCATGGGTCTCAACATTCACAAAGGGAAGAGTAAAATCCTCAAGGTTAATGCCACCAGTACATCACCCATTATGCTTGAAGGAGAAGCCCTTGAGGAGGTGGACAGTTTTGTTTACCTTGGCAGCATGGTAGATAAACAAGGTGGTACAGATGCGGACGTCAAAATAAGGATAGGAAAAGCAAGAGCAGCCTTCCAACAACTCAAGAATGTTTGGGTCTCTAACAACTTAGGCAGCAAGTTAAAAGTAAGGATTTTTAACGCTATGGTAAAACCTGTGCTGCTATATGGAGCCGAGACATGGAGAACAACGGCCGTAAACCTGACCAGAATCCAGTCCTTCATCAACAACTGTCTAAGAAGGATTCTCAGAATTCACTGGCCAGACAAAATCAGCAACCAGGAACTGTGGCAGCGGACAAAACAGAAGCCCATTGAGGAAGAGATTCTCCAGAAGCGGTGGAGGTGGATTGGTCATACACTAAGAAAACCTGCTTCTAACACAACAAAGCAAGCCCTGAAATGGAACCCACAGGGTAAGCGGAAAAGAGGCCGTCCAAGAAACACTTGGCGCCGAGAATTGGAGACAGACATCAAGAAAATTGGCCATGAATGGAAGATCCTGGAGAAGCTGGCCCATGATAGAGATGCCTGGAGGTCTCTCGTAGGTGGCCTATGCCCTTGGAGGAACCGCAGACGCCGACGATGATCGGTGGATGCCCCTCATGGACGAGAAGGCTCAACAACTATGTTTTTTGTTTCCAGATCACATCAGTTAATTTCCAAATGTGTGATTAAGGCTCATTAAATATATATCCTTTTGGCTAGTCTTTAACTTGAGCCTTCAAATTACTATCATAATTATGATTATAGCTCCCAATAATCTATAACTTAAATATTCCATTTGCCATAACTGTTACAATAGAATCCTTTCACCTGTAACTTTTGCTAAATCTATTGAACATACTCTCCAGATGACAACAATTGTACAGTTAGTGTTGAAAGCACAGTGACAGTCCAAGCCAACAGGACAAAACAGAACATCACCCTGGCTTGTTTTTCTACCAACCAAGACTTTCAGCAAACAGCCCCTCCATTGTGTACAAGTCCTGGCACAGACTTGTGTGCTCAATCTCAACCTTTGAACATTCAATGTAAGAAGGTTTTTTTTTTGTTTTTTCTGTGGAATTGGACAATGACTCCACTGCTTATTTTTTAACTGGAACGCTAAGGGAACAACTGATTCCTAAAACATAATCATGCTGTGCTCCAAAATAAAAGAAAGTTGCCAAGCCCTATTTTGGGCAATGAATATTAGGAGTAATTTTATTGAAAGCTACATATTAATGATTAAAAGTTAAAGATGTATTTTGTAATATTTATATGTTGAAAATCCTTGAAGACTCAAACAATTATTTTTAAATTATTCTTTTCCTCAGATGCAGCCAGCAAATTGATAGTAAACAGAAGTCCCCAGTCAGATGTTGAGGAAGGCAGTACTATGACACTCACCTGTCAGGCAGAAGGCAACCCACAACCCAACTATACATGGCTGCAAGTTGGCAATGAAAATAGATCATTAAATGGTTTTCAAGAAGGGCTCACCAACAAACTGATATTAAGTAACCTCAATATTACAGATGACACAGGAGTCTACAAGTAGGTTCATACTGTTGAATTACTTTTTTTTTTTTTTTTTTTAGGATTAATTTTTTTTCCAAGTAGGTTCATTCTGTTGAATTTCTTTTTTTTTTTTTTTTTTTTAGGATTAATTTTTTTTCCAATCTTCAGTATAACTGTGATGTCACACCATTTGCAATTTTGTCATTAGTCCATTCCATCTACTCTGTCTCTCTTTGTCTCTCTTTCTGTTGCTGACTTCTGCTTTCCTTTGCTATGATTATCACCCATGTTGAGTATGTGAGGGAGGAGAGGCATTGGGTGTTTCTGATAATGTTGGGTTTTGTACCTACTTATTTTACTATTATGAGATCAATGTGGATGTTCACCATACAATGTTTTATCTTCCTCTAGTTGCACTGCTACAAACAATGTCGGAGGAGTGAATTATTCCATTACAGATCAAGTCTCAGTTAACGTTTGTATGTATCATTTTAACCTTTTTAATTCAGTAACAATTTTTTTTTATTGGTTACTTGTCAAACAATTTATTTGAATAATTATTTTGAGATATGTTACTGTTACCTTTTGGGGGTTTTCTCGTGTTTTTTTCCCCTTATTGCCCTTTAGTTAATGTTGGTACATGTAAAGACCGTCCGAATTTCGGCTTCGGTTTTGGCACCGAAAGTGGACATTTTATCACTTTCGGCCAAGTTTGGGTTTCGGCCGAAACTGTAAAGTTAACTTTCGGCTTAATTTCGGTTTCAGTCAAAATTGACTTAGACTTTGGCCGAAAGTGACTGAGGTTTTCAGTCATCTAATACGAAAAAAAAGCGATATTTAACAACAAACTAAGCGATATTTAAGAACAAACTAAACGATCTTTAAGAACAAACTAAACGATCTTTAAGAACAAACTAAATGATCTTTAAAATCAAATAAAGCGATCTTTAAGAACAAATAAAGCCATCTTTGAGAACAAACTAAGTGATCTTGAAGAACAAATTAAACGATTTTTAAGAACAATCTTAATGGTCTTTAAGAACAAAACTAAATGTTCTTAAGGAACAGACTAAAAGATTTTTAAGAACAAACTAATCGATCTTAAGGAACAAAATCAATTATCTAAGCCATCTTCAACAACAAAATAAGTGATCAGTAAGAACAAACTAAACGATTTTTAATAGCAAACTAAAAGATCTATAAAAACAAACTAAATGATCTTTAAGAACAACTAAGCGATATTTAAGAACAAAATCAATGATCTCTAAGAACATACTAAGCAATTTTAATGAACAAACTAAACGATCTTTTAATAACACGAACTAAGCAATCATTAAGAAAAAACTTTAGCGATCTTTTTTGAACAAACTAAATGATCCTTAAGAACAAACTAAAAGATCTTTAAACAAAATCTAAGCGATCTTTAAGAAGAAACTAAGCAATCTTTAAGAACAAAAAAAGCGATCATTGACAAAAAACTGAACAATCTTTAAGAACAAACTAAGTGATCTTTAAGAACAAACTAAACAACCTTTAACAACAAAATAAGCGCGATCTTTAAGATTAAACTAATCTATCTTTTAGAACAAACTAAGGGATATTTATGAACAAACTCACCGATATTTAAGGACAAACTAAACGATCATTAACTACAAACTAAACGATCTTTAAGAACTAACTAAACCATCTTTAAGAACAAACTAAACGATCCTTAAAATCAAATAAAGCGATCTTTAAGAATAAATTAAGCGATCTTTTAGAACCATGATCAGAACAACAATTTTAAGAGACCCGGTTTAACAAAATAATTTTTGCCACCAATGGGGGTGAGGGAGGTTAGTCTCCCAACTAAATAATTACGTCACCAGCACGGAAAGACTAGTGTGTTGTTACTTGGTTAAATCTTAATACAGTGTTATCTTGCAAGCTATTAATGAAAACACAAAGCATTATTATTACGAAATCGGCGAAACATTGTGGTGATATTTTATAGCCTTAATAACATATATTTAGGTGGTAATTGGCTCTATTTGAGCCACAATAATTGTTGTAGGTATATGTTCTAGGTTGTAATTATATTATAAAAGCAAAGGCACTCAAGAGTCTATTTTGCATTAATTTTGCCAAATTTTCTCCTACCATACTAATTTTAAAAAATGTTAAAGCAATTTAAATTACTTTTAATTTAAAATGGTAAAATCCAAAGAATTCATTAGATCAAGGATTTCAAACTCAAATCATCAGGGGGGCCGCAGGGGGTAGAGTCTGAGTGAGATTGGGCCGCATCAAGTATTCCACAAAAAAGCGATTACAACTGTTACAATCTGCTCAACCTTTATAAATAACAATAAAAACATTAAGGGTTCTCAAGAACTAGGATTCACTTTCTTCCACCTACTCACTGTTGCCAGAGACCTGGCAGTGCTTCTTTTTACACAGATGAGCAGCTTTGGCTTGAGCGAGGAAGCAACTGAGACCCTCATTATAGCTTGAAGATACTCATCAGTAATTTGGCCCTGAACGTTTACTTGTTAAAAAGCATAGTGGGAAAGAGCTTTTCATAAAAATAGGTGCTCCCAAAAAGTCATATGATCCGCTTGAGCAACCTAAAAATGTCAGGGAAGGAGGAGGGCAATGCAATAAAATGTCCATGCTTGTCTGTTTTTCCATTCAGCTCCGCGTATGGGGGGGCGCGGGGCTTGGTTTTCGTATATAGNGCTGTCTCTGTTTTTTTGAAGTCTAAAAAATGTTGAGACCCAGACTGGGTAAAAAGGCATAAGAAGAAGATTTAGAAAGTGACCAAGCTGACAGGCTCGGAATTTACCTCACTCGTAAACACTAGCGGCAATTTTAATATGGATCCTTTGATAATGTATCAGATTGCTACGATTTACACAATTATGGTTGTGCATTAGCCGCCAACTTACTTTTAAAAACTTTTCTCAAAGCCACACTCTTTGCCATGTTTGTCTCAAAAGCTATAAAATAAAAACTTTTATTCCGATTTTAAAATGGTTCTTACCATTATAATCATCATACAAAAATATATAGAAACATTTTTAAAAAATTAGAATTAGACTAGTCGGTGAGATTCGACTGAAACCGTCGCGGAGAGTCACGTTATAGATATGAAAATGGGGGAAATGCGCCGGCACTTTAACACTAAAATTTTCTGTTATGTAGCAGGCCGCAAAATATCGTCTTGTGGGTCACAAATAGTGCGCAGGCCGCGAACTTGAGACCCCTATATTAGATGTTTATTTATTAATATTCACGATTATCTCATTTTTATAAAAAGAATGTAAATATTGATACTTTCCCCCATCATTTTCGATGTATGCAGGAACGCATTTCAAGATATCTAAATATTTCGGTTTTGGCCGAAAGTCATTTTTAACTTTCAGCCTTTTTTCGGTTTCGGCCGAAAGTCATTTTTAAATTTCTGCCTATTTTCGGTTTCGGCTGAAAGTTATTTTAAACTTTCTGCCTAGTTTCGGCTTCGGCCGAAATCAGAAAATCACTTTCGGTCGGTCTCTAGTTACATAGTGTCTTTGAAGAGGTTTTTATTACCAACTAGACACAATCTATTTTGTTTTAGTATAATCAGTGCCAGGCCACTCTTCTGTGATGAGGTTTGGCTATAGAGGTGTTTCTGTTCTCATCCACTCTTCTCTGAGATATTTTGGGTATTGAGGTTGTTATGTACCGTTGTATGGTTTTGAAACTTTATTTAATTTGTTCTAAGATTTGGCTAATTTTTTTAAACAATACATAACTAAGAACTAAAAACCTGTAATTTAATAGTAAAACTAACTTGAATATTGTTAATTTCACTAACTTTCGTATAGTTGTTCTTTGCATACAGGATTTCAGTTAACAATATTAAAGCTAGTAATATTAACAATATTCAATTTAATTTTACTATTAAATTTATATAAAAATACAAATTTAAATAGACAGAAAATAAAAGTAAATTAATTTACAACACAGTTGAAAAAATATAATCCTCACAAGATACAAATATTAAAACGCATGCCCACACAAAGAGTATATTGTAAGTATATTACATCTTGTAAATGTCTAGGTACATTAGCAAAAATCTCCCCTGTCTGAGAAAGTTGCCTGGTTATTGATAAGGAGAAAACTGGAAACCTCTGGGAAAGAAATTCTAGAAATTGAATCACCTGATATCATTCTTTAGAATAAATAAGAACATATTCTAACATAAACAACCTTTTCCCAATCAAGGAGGGCATGGTGTGGTTGACTGTTACACATTGATTGGTGACAACACTATCAACAAAAAAAAGGTTTTGGGAGAAGTAGTGGACTTAAGCTTTACATTGCAGAAAAAATTAGGTCAAGACACAGGCACAACAAGTTGTTTCAATGCTGGTCCACTCTTCACTGTGATAACATTTGGGTATAGAGGTGTTTCAATGCTGGTCCACTTTTCTCTATGATAACATTTGGGTATAGAGGTGTTTCAATGCTGGTCCACTCTTCTCTGTGATAACATTTGGGTATAGAGGTGTTTCAGTACTTCATGCCGCACCAAAACTTGATTATTCACTCTCCTATGCCACCCTTGTCATTTGTGAAAAATATAATTGAATGAAATCATTAATTGTGTTATCAAATAATTTGTTAAATATCTTATGGTCTAATAATGTCTAAATAATAGTACATAAAACCTGTCTAGCTTTACAAAAACCTTGTTGTCTTGAATATTAATAGTTAAATGTGCCTGTTGTGTAACAAAGATATGATGGGCATGTGTCACCTGTGTTACATAAGAATTGATGGGGACGTTCTTTAAAAATTGATATGAATATAAATCATTAATGTATTATTTATTTTTACTCTAGGGTTTAATATTTTCTCATTAAGTAATGATCTAAAATAAATATAAATTTTGTGTCAAAAAGAAAAGATACTTAAAATCTTCTTCTTCTTCTATATCTTAAGGGCCCACAATCAATTTATTGATCATTTTGGCTCCTATGCATGTAGATGGGATATGCAATGTTTCTGTTACTGGTGTTGATGAGGAAATCATGCACTAGGGGTTTGAAGGCTTGAGGCAATAGACACAAATGTGTCTAGTGTTGTCGCCTCAACCGTTCCTTTTGAAAGATTGTTCCAGTCCCTGATTGTCTTGGGCAGGAATGAGCAGCTCCTATACTGGCTTCTTGCTGGTATGAGCCTGAATTGCCTGTCATGGTCAACCGTTCCTTTTGAAAGATTGTTCCAGTCCCTGATTGTCTTGGGCAGGAATGAGCAGCTCCTATACTGGCTTCTTGCTGGTATGAGCCTGAATTGCCTGTCATGGCCTCGTTGCTGTCTATGGGGGAGAGGGACGAGTTTCTGTTTAATACTGGAACAGTGGACCAGCCCATTATTTATCTTGTACATCATGGAGAGCCTGGATTGTCGTCGTCGTTTCTCCAATGGTGACCAGCCTAGTGTTTCTAGCATGCTGCCAAAGTACAAAATCTACAAAGTACATCCTGATATTTTATTTTTTCACACACTTGTAAATAAAGGCAGGTAGTAGTTTCAATCTTGATACATCTCTTATTCTTATTCTTTTCTATATTTTGAGGGCCCATGATCAATGTATTGATCCTTCTGGCTCCTATATTTGTAGAGGGGTTTGCGATGTAACTGTGCATGGTATTGAAGAGGGTACTTCACTGGTTGCAAGGGGCTATTCAGCGATGGTATTAAGAACTGGGGGTCGGAAGGCCTGAGACAATAGACGCAAATGTGTCAATTATCATCGCCTCAACTGTTGAAAGCTTGTTCCAATCCCTGATTGTTATGGCAGGTATGAGCAGTTCCTGTACTGAGTTCTTGTTGCTATGAGCCGGAACTGCCTGTCATGGCCTCATCGCTGTCTGCAGAGTTATTGCCAGAATTAAATTATTTATTCCTCACAAATCTTGTTTTTAACAGAAATGTCAATATTTCAAGGCTAAATACAAGGAAGAATCGTTGTTGACTGGTAGTTGGATCACAAGTGTAAAATACATCTAATCTTTGACTAGAATTCCCTAATCTAAATATATACCATGTAATCTAGATTTAAAAGAGTTTCTTTTTAACTGAATGTGGAAAGTTAGCTTAATGTAATTAGACAAATCTAATTATTGTGGCAAGTTGTCACTTTTAGCAAACAGGCACTTCGTTTTAACAAATATAAACTGACACATCAGTTACTTTTGTTACGCACTGGCTTCTTTTGTGAGAAATTAATCTCCTATTTTAATTTTATGGCTCGTTCAAACAGTGCCTAACAAAGGACGATACCATAGAGAAATACAATTACAAAAAATACGACACCCAAAACAGTTGCCAATTACAATTAGTAAGATTTAATTTAGTAATAAAACAACAACAAAACAAAAGAAATATAATTATAAATCATCAACTTACAGAATATCGGAAAATCTTGTACCAGTACACAAGTAGTACAATGTGCCAATTAATATTATAATGAAGAATGAGAATAAACACATAAGTACACAAAGAGTAATACACGTCTCGTGAAGTTAAAATAAATCTATCTGAATCTCCCTCTCTCTCTGTGCCTATATGTGGGTCTAACGACGTGTTTAGAAACGCCCTTACTTTTCTAATACAATCGAGAACGTTCAATAAGATACTAGTACACATACTAACCATGTTTAATTGGAAGTCGGTAGTAAACACGATACATCAAATGAATAAGCCATGCCCACAATAAACGCTACCGCCCGCTAGGAATCTAATGTGGGGTGAAACAAAGTTCAAGCACGGGGAAAGTGTGCTACATAACACTTTGAAAATGTTGCCTTGTTCTTTGATTCACCTATTTTGAACATGTTTTACCAACTTTGATGTTCTATTTGATGACGTTCTGACCAGTTCTCAAAACTACAACCACGACGACGACAACAACAACACGGAAGACGACGCTAACCTCTTCCAGCTCACCTGCAGGTTCTTCAGCTACTGGCCCACAAAATGCAGGCGGTGGTGATGATAATACGAGTAAGTTTTTAAATCCTGTTTTTATTTAATTATTGAAAGAAACCATAAATATGTCTTTAAATTTGTTACTCCAGATTAGGGTGATATAACGGTTAAGTGTGTAGCAAGGGTAAGTCTATAATAAGGTTAAGTCTGTAGTATGGGTAACACCAACAAATTAATAATGGCAGATTCGTCTTTGGACCAAAATGGCTACACCAATAGAATTTTCATTTTGAAATCTTGCTTTATGATCTGTATTGAGTACCAAAGAAGTTTTAAGTAAAATAAGTAACATCAAGAAGCCACATACAATGTTTGTTATAACTTTTAGTAGCAGCTCACATTCTACATGATAGTTGTTTCTCTCATCCATAGACACCATCATCATTGCTGTAGTGGTTCCTGTTGCTTGCATTATCATCATCATCATCATTGTGGTCATCGTGTGTGTCAAGAAGAGGAAACAAACAAAGTCTATCATTGAAGGTGAGGAGCTAAGGGAAATAAAGGAAAATTATTCATTTCTTTTTTTTCTAATAAGACATCAAATGTTTCATGACCCTCCCTGTGAGGAACTGGCCACCCCTTTTTTTTCTAATAAGACATCAAATGTTTCATGACCCTCCCCGTGAGGAACTGGCCACCCCTGACATTTCAATAAGACATCAAATGTTTCATGACCCTCCCCGTGAGGAACTGGCCACCCCTGACATTTCAATAAGACATCAAATGTTTCATGACCCTCCCAGTGAGGAACTGGCCACCCCTGACATTTCAATAAGACATCACATGTTTCATGACCCTCCCAGTGAGGAACTGGCCACCCTTGACATTTCAATAAGACATCACATGTTTCATGACCCTCCCAGTGAGGAACTGGCCACCCCTGACATTTCAATAAGACATCAAATGTTTCATGACCCTCTCAGTGAGGAACTGGCCACCCCTGACATTCCAATAAGACATCAAATGTTTCATGACCCTCCCAGTGAGGAACTGGCCAACCCTGACCTTTCAATAAGACCTCAAATGTTTCATGACCCTCCCAGTGAGGATCTGGCCACCCCTGACCTTTCAATAAGACATCAAATGTTTCATGACCCTCCCAGTGAGGAACTGGCCACCCCTGACCCCTGACCTTTCAATAAGACCTCAAATGTTTCATGACCCTCCCAGTGAGGATCTGGCCACCCCTGACCTTTCAATAAGACATCAAATGTTTCATGACCCTCCCAGTGAGGAACTGGCCACCCCTGACCTTTCAATAAGACATCAAATGTTTCATGACCCTCCCAGTGAGGAACTGGCCACCCCTGACCTTTCAATAAAACATCACACATTTCATGACCTCCTATTGATAATATCACACCCCACCCCCCTTTTTCCCCTCTATTACATTATAATTAATTAAAATATTTATTTGTTCAAGGAGATCATCTGTCCAGGGTTGTGTTTATATTTAAATTTAACAATTTCTTTCCCAATCTCAGCATTTATCTTTTTTAAAGTTCCATCTCTATTTGCAGTATTGATGGTTTGTATCAATATTGTCTTCAACTATTTATCAATGAAATTAAAAAAAACAAAAACTGATTAGTGGAAACTGTTGTTTTTCAGAACCATCAGAGAAACCTTACAAGTGAGTAGCCCAAGTTTCATCCTGGTCTATCCTTTATGCTAAAACCAATAAAACATAAATTATCCTTTTTAAAAAAAAATATCTTTAACAAATCCCAGCTCTTATAGTTACCAATGTTATCTAGGAATGAGAATTAAATCATTACATTTTGCTCATAGTTAATAATTTGTTCAATTTAATGTCTAATTTATATCTGGCTTTTGTACATCCTTGTTTAAAAATAACACCACTAAATTTGATGAATAGATATGCCAATACAGTTTGATGTGTTTTTAGGGCAAGTTAATAAACAAAGGGATAGCTCTTTACAAAAAGAGTTAAGTTTTTAAACAATCTTAACATGTCCTTGTACTTCCTATAGCAACCTCAGCATGGTGAATCAGAACTTCAATAAGTCCCCCAAACCTGACCTGGTATCTGGGGATAAAAAGTTCAACAACGACACCCTGGATGCTAAAGTAAGTCAAGACATTAGTTTAATCATGACATCCTGGATGCTAAAGTAAGTCAAGACATTAGTTTAACAATGACACCCTGGATGCTAAAGTAAGTCAAGACATTGGTTGAACAATGACACCCCTGATGCTAAAGTACGTCAAGACATTGGTTGAACAATGACACCCCTGATGCTAAAGTAAGTCAAGACATTGGTTGAACAATGAAACCCTGGATGCTAAAGTAATTCAAGACATTGGTTGAACAATGGCACCCTGGATGCTAAAGTAAGTCAAGACATTGGTTTGATGACACCTTGGATTCTAAAGTAAGTTAAGACATTGGTTGAACAATTAAACCCTGGATGCTAAAGTACGTCAAGACATTGGTTGAACAATGACACCCTGATGCTAAAGTAAGTCAAGACATTGGTTTAATGACACCCTGGATGCTAACGTAAGTTAAGACATTGGTTTAACCATGACACCCTGGATGCTAAAGTAAGTCAAGACATTGGTTAAACAATGACACCCTGGATGCTAAAGTAAGTCAAGACATTGGTTGAACAATGACACCCTGGATGCTAAAGTACGTTAAGACATTACTTTAACCATGACACCCTGGATGCTAAAGTAAGTCAAGGCATTGGCTGTACATGTTCATTGCACCTATCAGTATTAATGCATCTTAAACTTTTTTTAATACATAAACACTTGATTTAATCATAAATGGCTGTGTGGTTGAGGTGTGTCAATACCACAACATGAAATACATACTTGTGTGTTTAAACAGAACATGGCATACATACTTGTGTTTAAGCCCTGTGCAGTGCATGAAGCTGAATCAACACAAATGCAGACACTATGTTAGATGAAGCCGCTATGTTAGATGAAGTCCTTACGATAGATAAAGTCGCTTTGTTAGATGAAGTCGCTTTGTTAGATGAAGTCCTGAAGCTCAGAGAAGTAAAACTCAATAACTTTGGGACTCCATCTGCCCATGGTTAAGGTTACAAAAGTAAACCTTGACAGAAAAATTAAAACATTTATTTGATATTGTTCTTGAATCACCAACTACTTCTGGTGTCAGTTCTACTGACTGGTAAACAGTTGAATCTCCATAAAAATACCTCGCCCATGCTAATTAAATACATTGCATTTGCAACATTGGCCATCTTTCTACCCTCAGTATTTCTCATAGTTTAACACCTGACATAAATTATCTCAGTATTACCCATAGTTAAACACCAGATAATGATCTCAGTATTACCCATAGTTAAACACCAGATAACAAAATGATCTCAGTATTACCCATAGTTAAACACCAGATAACAAAATGATCTCAGTATTACCCATAGTTAAACACCAGATAACAAAATGATCTCAGTATTACCCATAGTTAAACACCAGATAACAAAATGATCTCAGTATTACCCATAGTTAAACACCAGATAACAAGATGATCTCAGTATTACCCATAGTTAAACACCAGATAACAAGATGATCTCAGTATTACCCATAGTTAAACACCAGATAACAAAATGATCTCAGTATTACCCATAGTTAAACACCAGATAACAAGATGATCTCAGTATTACCAATAGTTAAACACCAAATAACAAAATGATCTCAGTATTACCCATAGTTAAACATCAGATAACAAAATGATCTCAGTATTACCCATAGTTAAACACCAGATAACAAAATGATCTCAGTATTACCCATAGTTAAACACCAGATAACAAGATGATCTCAGTATTACCCATAGTTAAACACCAGATAACAAAATGATCTCAGTATTACCCATAGTTAAACACCAGATAACAAAATGATCTCAGTATTACCCATAGTTAAACACCAGATAACAAGATGATCTCAGTATCACCCAAATTTTAACACCTGATATAAATTATTTCAGTATTACCAGTCTGGAGACCCCAAGAATGATGCTCTACAGTATGCCGATTTGAATTATGACAACCAGCCTCGTAGCAGAAAACCCATTGCTCTATCAGATGCTTCGTCCACTTCTGACTATTCCATGGATATTCAGATGCCAGAAGTATAAGAGGGCTTCTGTCTATTAAAGCAGTGTTGTAAGTGTAAATATAGTTAGGCTAATGAGACAGAAATGTGTAATTTTATAACATTTAAAGGTTTGTAATTTTAAGGACCAGGTTGTGACCAAGAGAACCCATTAGATTTATACACTTCAATGAGATATAAGCAAGGATGGATCTCACATAGGGTATCCTTTATTAAGAAGGATGAACATGAATAGAGTGCATCATTAGATGAAACTATGTCAAGAAACACAGTGACTAGAATCAGGGCAACGAACCCGACGGAGAAGCTTGTTTTTCTCCTTTGGGTCGGCAAATTTCGATGGTAGTCCTGATATTAGATTGACTTGATGGGATTCATCATCGTGTGTAATCAGTAAGTTATCAAGATGTGCTAAGATAACGTCTGCTTCTTGGCAGAAGTTTTTAAATGGACTTGTATAGGAATTTAATTGGTCTGAAATTCTCTTCTGGATTATTCTTTGGTAGAAAGGTTTGATTCATTTTAAATGGGGTTTTTTTCTGGATTGCTTTCAAAAAACATTTTTTTTTTTTTTTTAACATGCAAATGTCCAAATACTTGAGATGAAAATCAAAATTTGGAGATTGTCCACTCATGTTAAAGTGCAACTTTTTCAAAAATTGACTTTTGTTGTTTTTTGGTCAAATCTATAACCCTCAACTTTTTTTGTGTGTAAAAAAATTTTTTTTTGATGAAATAATATTTGAATGATTTGTTGTAAGATGATACACCAAATAATCATGGACGTTCATATTTCACAGCTAACCATTTACATTACATTTACATGAAAGCTAGTCTTATAAAAAAATATTTATCTTATTTTTCTGGTATAAATATTTATGAAAATAAGAAGTTGATTAATTTTTTATTTATTTTTAACAAATTTTTGTTTTTTAATTATTGAATAGTTTGATATAGAGAAACTGTTCTTCATCTTACTGATTTTATATTTATAAGATTTAACTGTTCATCTATACAAGTGCTATACTAACTAGGCTAGTAGCCCTCTACGTTTTATACAAGTGTTGCACATGAACTAGTTCAAGGACCTTTTTGAATTCCAAGCGTTTGTTTTCTTGTGTTCCATGATCATGAGATGACAGAAAACCCATTGCGCTATCAGATGTTTCTTCGACTTCTGACTATTCCATGGTTATTCAGATGCTCGAAGTGTAAGAGGGCTTCTGTGGATGAAATCAGTGTTGTAAGTGTCAATATAGTTAGGCTCATGAGACAGATATGTGTAATTTTATAACATTTAAAGGATTGAATAGTTCCATGATCATGAGATGACACAAAGAACACCGTAAGATAAGGAACTAGGTGTCACAATTCAACTCTTTTATTAGCACTACTGGAGTAATACACACTATACACTAACATTAAACTATTATGTAATATAGAATGTTGCTTTTTTTAAAATTGATTATTGTTCTTTGTAAATGTATTTGACTTGATTCGGTGACATGTAGATCTGATCATTGGATGTGTTTAGTGGTCATCAGCGATGAAATCCTACAAGTGATTATCAGAGACTGAGTTTAAACTAAATGAGATTTGTCGGTCATAAATCTTTGGCTCTGTTTGACAATCTTTGCAATAACTGCTTTCTTGCATTATGTCAGACTTCTACTTAATTATTTACATATGAAATAACCTGTAATGGATGTATAGCAGTTGTTGACATAGCCTGTAATGTTTGGGATTGCAGTTGTTGAAATAGCCTGTAATGTTTGGGATTGCAGTTGTTGAAATAGCCTGTAATGTTTGGGATTGCAGTTGTTGAAATAGCCTGTAATGTTTGGGATTGCAGTTGTTGAAATAGCCGGTAATGTTTTTAAAGGAGTTGTGAATATGAAAATCCTAGCAACAATTGATGTGAAAAGTTGTTAATTTCAATTTGAGCTGCCAGAAGTTTCCTATGAAAATAGCCAACATTTGTTACCTTATTAAGAATGCTGTGTGATACTCAAACATAGCAATATATAAAAAAAAATTTAAACAAATCTTCAAGCATAAATTTGATCCTCATGTAATGTAAATACTAAGACATGCTTTACTGTGTAAATAGTGTATATATTGCATATACTGGCCATGGTTTGGGCAGGCTGAGGTATATAGTTTTGGTCCCAATTCATTTGTTTACAACTGCCGAAATGTAGTCAAAATAGTTGTGTTGTCTTGATCCCCGTTTATTTGGGCTGGCTCTTTATTTCTGTATTCAACCAAGAAGTTTGTCACCCAGTTGTGTCTAATGACTTACTGTAAAAAACCTGATCTAGTTTAAGTGATGTGAAGCGTTTGCTGGAATGTACCTGATATAGATTAAGTGATGTGAAGCGTTTGCTGGAATGTACCTGATATAGATTAAGTGATGTGAAGCGTTTGCTGGAACGTACCTGTACAAAACTTGTTTTATAACGTACACAAATTTCTGGTTAATGAAATACTGGTAACTGAAATAAGAATGTTCATTAAAACTGTGTAGTTTACAAAGTAGCATTGTATTAAATTTTTAACTAGAAAATCTCTTATGACCAGTTCAGTAATAATGCTTAAAATAAGGTGTAGACTGTCCAAACAGTAAATGTCACAGTCGTAGTGTCATGGGCAGTCTTAGCAGCAGCAATCTCCGGCTGTCTCAGCAAAATGTTACTATTCATAATTCCACTTGTGTTGTGACACTTCATCGCCATTGCCTGACATTGTTCCCCGCCTGTTTTAGGCTGTGTACATACACATATCAGTTATAGAAGTGAACATTCCCGTCTTTATGCACATCTTCATCCATGTCTAGAACTACCAAAGCAATGGTCACGTTAATGTTGTACAGTATACAACAATGGAATAATCCAATTAATTTATTGCTTGGGGATGTGGCCCTGCTTGTGCACTTTTCAATATTTATAATCGTATTGTCATCTTTTTTTTTACAGCCACTGTTAACTATTTTTGACCTCCTTGTATGAGTTTGTAATTCTTTCTATTGCCTTATTACAGCTAGATACATTCCTATCACACTCCTGCCAATTTATATTTTGAGGAACAATTTAATGGACAAAACATTTATGTAATGAAAGGAAATTTTATATATTTTTCTAATTATAGAATTGAAAATATATTTTGTCCAACTTAAAAAGAATGTTTGAAAATTTATGCAGATACCTATTAAATGTCACCAGCAGCTGTACTGTGTTTGTATAGCTAAGAATGTCACCAGCAGCTGTACTTTGTTTGTATAGCTATGAATGTCACCAGCAGCTGTGCTGTGTTTGTATAGCTATGTCGCAAACAGCTGTACTGTGTTTGTATAGCTATGTCACAAACAGCTGTACTGTGTTTGTATAGCTATTTCACAAACAGCTGCACTGTGTTTGTATAGCTATGAATGTCACCAGCAGCTGTGCTGTGTTTGTTTAGCTATGTCACAAACAGCTGTACTGTGTTTGTATATCTATGAATGTCACCAGCAGCTGTGCTGTGTTTGTTTAGCTATGTCACAAACAGCTGTACTGTGTTTGTATAGCTATGTCACAAACAGCTGTACTTTGTTTGTATAGCTATGAATGTCACAAGCAGCTGGCATTATTCCTGGATTATAAATCCTTGTTATGAAAGCTAGTGGCGTATCTACTGATAAATAAACAACATTGATCTTAGACTAAAATAAGACGGCTACTGTCTCATCTATAACCTCTGAAATTGAGATTTTACTGTCAGTGACTCATCTATAACCTCTGAAATTAAGATGGTTACTGTCATGAACTCGTCTATAACCTCTGATATTAAGAAGGCTACTGTCAGTGACTCATTTATAACCTCTGAAATTCTGGTTCCTCATCTATACCCTATGTAATGGTGATACAAGGAGTATATTCTCAACTACATCATGAATTCATACATTTCCCTCTGCAAGTGTCACTCAGATATCTTTGATTTTCACACATAAAAGAAAAGGTCAAATGTACACTATTAGTTGCATGATAATGCCTATCGCCCCTCTGTATTTATATAAAGTTGTTGCTTTAGGTCAGACTTCTAACACAGTAGACATTCCAACCAGATTGTCCCCAATCAGTTTCTCATTTGGTCTTTATTGCGGCCAAATTATATAAGTATAAAAGTTTCCAGCCTTCTGTTGAGATAATTCCCTGAACATATTATTTAAAAGTCTTGTTTAAACTTCAATTCTCTGATTAATGTCTTCACTTCAGGGATCTTGTAACAGAATTTACTTTTATTGCATTCTTATATCTTATATTTTTTACTTTTTATGGATATTTGTTGTCACAAATTGCAGAGTGAAGCAGGTTCGGACTACATGGCATTGTGAGGCTCCTCTGGCCATGTATTGTGTGGGGGCCATGGTGTTGTGAGGCTGGGTGGTCATGGCATTGTGAGGCTGAGTGGTCATGACATCGTGAGGCTCCTCTGGCAATGTATTGTGTGGGGGCCATGGTGTTGTGAGGCTGGAGTGGCCCAGTGTTGTGATACCATGTGGCCTAGTGTTGTGATGCCTTGTGGCCTTGGTGTTGTGAGGCTGGAGTGTGGCCTTGGTGTTGTGAGGCTGGAGTGTGGCCTTGGTGTTGTGAGGCTGGAGTGGCCTTGTGTTGCTATGCCTGGTGGCCTTGGTGTTGTGAGGCTGGAGTGGCCGAGTGTTGTGATGCCTGGTGGCCAGGTGTTTTTAGTTTGAGATTGAGAGGTCATATATTGTGAGAAAGGTGTAGCCAAGGAGTTGTTTTCATTTGTGTAGTTTAGAATTGGATTTAATTTATTTGTAAAAGTTATTTGCCTTGGGTCACTTACTTTACATATATAGTCACATATGAAGTAATTCAGAGAACTTTCTTTTGATAAAACAAATTGCCAATCTGTTAGATTGTTATAATTTTGTTGTATGATTCATTGTAACATTTGAATAAACTATGAATCATCTAACTAAAGCTCAGGTTATCTGAAGCACCTTATTTGATAATTCCCCATTTCCAGTCCCCTGTAAAAAATATATTCAAATCTTTATGTCCATGTGCATGTCAAGTTTGCTATGATACACTATTCCCAAATTTTTTTTCATTTCTGTGGATAGTTTTTTAATGCTACCTTCCAACAGGCACTTGGGTCTTAATCTTTCTATTTTTGAACTAGGAAGTTTTTTTTTCCATTGTCCTAATCTTGTCAAGATGGTTATAAATAAATAGAATCTTTTCTTGGTTTTCAAATGCCTTTGTTGGCACTGCTACAGAACATTAAAGCTATTTCTATTACTATAAACAGCCTTTGCCAAGCAAAATAAGCAGAATATTTTTGTTAAATGAATCACAATCACAGGTCTTTTTTTTTTAATTGTGGAATTCCCCAGAAACAGACCAGGAAATAATTTTATGTTCCATTAATTTTAACTTTCATTTTAAATCCTGGTTGTGGTGTTTGTTAATCTTCTTCTTTATTTTAAGGGCCCACTATCAATGAATTGATCATTCTGGCCCAACATTTTGATTGACCCAACATTTTTTATTTTTTTAATTATCTGGTATAAACTGAATGGATTAAACATTTTCAGCTTTTTAATCCTGAGTGTAGTCCTTAGAACATTATTAGTGTTAACTCTAAACCACTCAGCCATAAGCTAATAATCCATATATTTTTTTTATGGTCAACACTTTTATTTTCCTCAGGCTTCTAAATTGTTCCCTATTCATCAATTTCTATGTACAAAAATGTCATTTCTAGATCAAAATTTTTTTTATTGCTTCATATTCATATATAATCTATAAATACTATATATACATTTCCCTACTTATGAATAAATATTATACATATATAAACTTGTGTATTTGCTGTCTGATCATGTTGTACCAGAAGTTATTTTAAAAAATGCTATGAAGCACCCAGTAGACACATATGAGTTAATTATATCCTGAAAGATGCCCTCACAATTTGAGCCAACAAATCAGTGCATTGTTTTAGAGATGCATTAGACACATTGTGAAGTGAACGTTTTTGTAAGATGGCAAAATTTTTTGTGATTGTGCTTGAAAACTCACAAGCAGGACACAATACTTTAGACACTACCTCTAACTCTAATTAATAAATAAGGCATGTTATAGAACAAGTATAGTTTAATAGAATTTCATTTTAGGCAATGTCAAAATTTATTATCAATAATAATAATACATGTAATTGAGTTCTCTTACAACACTTCAACAAACAACAAAATCAATAGCTAAAATAACCAATAAATAAAATTCAAGGATGGCAAAACAGAACATTATAAAATGCAGTCAAATTCATAACTATAACAGACAAAAAGGGGAAAAACTCACTAAGAACACTTTTCTGAAAATTATGAAATCTTTTTCAGAAAGAATTCCCTAAGTTTAGGGTATGGCTGAAACAGACCAACTTCATACAAACAAATTCCAATTATTTTGAAATATCAGACAAAACTCTGATGTTAATCTTATTCAACCAAAATCTTTTGTCACTGAAATTTTAAAAAAAAAAATGTTTTAGTAAAACTATAGCAAGACAATCAACATCCTCATAATAAATAGAGCAGAATTAATGTTATTAGACCAACATGTTGGCTCAGTTTGCAAACCTTCCACAACAGCGCAATCTTCACCCTGACCACTTCTGTTTATAATTATTGTTAGCCAAGCCAGTTTAGTTTCAAATGATAAAAGGAATGCCACAGTTGATAGCACAATTTATACAACAAAAAAAGGGAATAATAAAATATATTTATTGAAAGTGTTATTTAAACGTTTTTCTCTGTTTATCTTTCACTGTTCACTAGGACCATACCAGATTTTATAACAAACAAATTAGAAATAATTGGAAAGCTATGTTTATTTCTAAACTTGCTTTAAGTGCAGACCCTTGGAAGCTATTAAATAGCAGGTGCAGTAGCCAAATCTACCCAAAAATAGCCCCCCTATTTTCTCTGCCTTATAACTTAGGATGCTGTGCACCTTCCCGACCACCGAGGATTCAGTGCACCTTCCAATTTAAATCATTGAATGATGCTCAAGTGATATGCACAAAATATCATAATAAAAACTAGTGTATATTGAAGTTAAATGGAATCAGTCATATCAGTCAAACAATCATCTCAGAGAAAAATTATCAAGGATTGATGACCTCACTGAAAAAAAACAATCAACCATTGGCAAAAAAACTATAGATAGGAAAGAAGCCCTAGAGACTTTATAAGAAAACCGGTACCTACAGAAATGACAGATGACCTAGACAGTTGTAAATATCTTTTTAGTTGAACCTAAGATTTTATTCAATTGCAAACATGCAAATTTTTAATAAAATCAATTTTATTCCAGGCATCTTGCTAGACTTTCCCCATTATCAAAATAGGAAGAGCCGGAAATTCATAACAAAGAGCCCATACAATACCGATAGCTAAAATCCCAGGATTATTTGCGATTCATCACAGTAGTCCTAATTTCCTTATTTATAATCTGGGTCTTGCCTACAAAGGGATCCCCACTCTGTCTAAATAAGTAAAAAACAAGCACTAATTAAATAACTGTAATTATTAAAACTTAACATGTTACAGGCCATCCACCCTGAGATAAGCATTTCACCAATGTGAGATGATATTTGAAATAGAACAATGCTTTGGTCCAATCAATACTACCTATGTGGATTGGTACCAACCAAAAAGGTGAACTATCCTCTCTTATTTAAGTGTTGTAAATACAGCATAGTATTATTACGATGAAAAAATCTTAAATTTAAAAGTCTTTCAACATCAAGCCACAGCGCACTTTAAGAACAAAATCAATTTAAATAAACCTTATCACAAGCAATTTTATATGAAATAATGTATTTCAATGCAATATGCAGTTGAGTCAAGAAAAAAATACATGAAAATGTCAAAAATAACCAAGGCGTTTGAGCCATCAGGTAGAAAATGCCACAAATATTGATGAATCTCAATATCTTTACCACTTTCTTTGATACATCAGATCAAAATGAGAATTTGCTTTTGTCTTAAATTGATTGAGAGATAGTTTTTAAGTTACAAGTGCAAACATTTTTTGGTTTTTATTTTCTACCAGGATAGACAATTGTATAGGTTTTGAGAATTGTGCCAGTGGACAAAGAGTATACAAGCTTTGTAAACTGGTGCCCCGTCACCTCAGCTAAACATGAAAATAATGAAGTGGTCCTTATTTTACATATGCTGACACAAAATTCACGTATTTAAAACACTGAGAACATTTTTGGATCAGAGCAACTATTTTTTCTAAAGAATGAAGTGTTCCGCAGCGTACAGAGCAGATTAGGAACTGCACAGGAAATTGGACAATGATGATGATGAATTAATCTTGCTGACTCAGGTTTTTATCAGTAGACTGATAAAATAAACTTTTCAATAGGACAGGCTATTAAAGCATATAGTTTGTGAGAGTCTAAGTTAGAACTATCGTTACAATTCTCCATGCTCGTCTGACTGTGTTGTTTGTTCTTCTGGGCTGTCTACTTCATCACCAGCATCTGGAATGATTAAAGAAAATATGAGCCGAGTTGTAGATAATGTCGACTTACTGCTTGTTATTTAAGGCTGCATAAAAGTTGACGGAGGTATGAATAGGTTACTTAGTCAATTATCATCATGCTCTGATAAGGAGCACAAAAACTTTGCTTTGATAAAACTTAACCAAATGCCACCTTTAATTAAGTCATAGAATTGTAAATGCATAGCATACAGACAATATCCAATTTGAAATTAGAAATCTTGTTGTTGAAAAAAAAGGAGTTGTGAAAAGAATAATTTTTGGTAGTATGAAGAACTTGAATTTATGAATAATTTTATATACATGGCATCCTTCCGTTTTCACTAGATGATGGAGTAGCTATTGACACTTCATCGAATGGCTTCCGAGGCATATATATGTATACATATCTAGATGAAGTAGTGGGAAAAGAGAGACTTTATCGAAGAACTTTTTATTTGAAGAACTTTTTGTAACATGCTGGTTGGGGTGATGTTTACATTAAATGACTGATCATATTAACAGTAGCGGAGTATTGAAGTGAGAAATAATGACATACTTTGTAAGAGCTTTTTATGGGAAAGAAAGGTTATCCCTTCCTTCATAACTCTGGTTTCTAATAGATTCAATGTTGCTGAATTATTCTACAAAAATATTGAACTTCTGTAGAGAATAACCGTTTTTAAAGTGCTTCCAGGTATAAAAAAAAATGCTCAGTCCAATCAATTAATACCTAGAAGTAATACTATGTCAAACATAAATACATAGCTAGAACTAATACTAAGTGAAATGTCCAATCAATACATAGCTAGAACTAATACTAAGTGAAATGTCCAATCAATACATAGCTAGAACTAATACTATATGAAATGTTCACCTAGTTGAAGGACTTCTTCTTCTGACTGGTCTGCTTTCTCCTTTCGTTTGGACTTTGGCTTCTTCTTACCCGTGCTGGTTTTTGCCCCAGACTGGCTGTCTGGAGATTTTTTCTCTTGTTTGGAGGCACTGTCTGTCGTAGGTTTGTCTGGGAGGGGACTTGTGTCTTCAGGTGTTGTTGGTGTGTCTTGTTGGTCTGTCTGTGTGTCTGATTCAACAGTTGGAGGAATTTCTTCTAATTGAATTGCAAAAGGCCAAAGAGTAAAAAAAAAAATATAAGTTTAAAAAACTTTGGAAACAGAATTGAGAAGATGAACTATAAACACTAACTAAAATATAATTATTGATCTTTTAAGGTGGTGCCGTTTCCATTGATATTCTATGTGCTTTTTTATATCTATTCAACAGAAAATTTTAAATTATTTTTTTTACACATGCTAATGAACCAATAATTTGGCAAGTTTGCATGTGCCATTTGTAGCTCTTCCTATAATTGTGGTGGGGCGGGGGTGGGTTTGTCCCCAGTGCTTTGACAATAATATCTTTAATGGGAGAGTTTAAGTTTCATTATGATATTGCAAAAGCAATTTATGGCAATAAATTTTGCTTGAATGTCAAAATTGGTATAAAAAAAAAAAGAACTTCTATGTTCTTTTGACTTTCTACTTGTGTATTGTTTGTACCATATCTCGTGTTTCTAATTTAAGAAATATAATTTTTTTAATGTTGACTGACCCACCGACCACCTTAAAACCCATGTAACAAAACAAGACTTTTTTCTTCCTAACAAAAGGTGGTCAAAAAGACCAATGTTAGAAAACTATTTAAAAAAACTGATTCGAACAACCCAACGAGCTGACCTTGTTCCGATGTTTCTTGTGTAGTGGGGGTTTCATCAGCTGATTTGGTCACAGTCTCCTCTGTAGAGTTTTCTGTCTTTTTGCTTTTGTCTTCCTTAGGCTTAGGTTTGGGCTTAAAGTTCTGGGTAACATGCAAACAACATTTCTTATCATCTATAGATTCTAGAAAGAACATTTCCAAAGTAGGTTAGATATTCTTCCCATCTATAGATTCTAGTTAGAACAATACCATGCATGTGTAGCTGGCGCTTATATATAGATTCTAGTTAGCAGATCCCCATGCATGTTAATCTAGAGGTTATCAATAGATTATAATCTAGAGAAAGCGTGTACAGCAAGAGTTATGTGTTTTCAATTTTCTTGTTTGGAAACTGAGTTCAATGTATGAGTGTTATGTTTTCTATCATAATACATTGTGATTTGATAAAAGTGAATAGAAAAATAACTTAAATTATACTAGACGCCTGACCAAATATGTTTTTAATATGTTATAAAGTGTGTCAGTTTTGAGGTGAAAACTAAAGAGTTGATGATAGTAGACATTCAACAAAGAAAATCAGGTGTAGAAAACTATAACATAATTTAAATACCCCGACCAAGGAGTTTTCTTGAATATAAAAACTAAAGAAATTAAATTTGTTCAATGAGATGTCACAAAAGGGCTATTTTACCTTTGCCTTGTTGATGAGATATCTCATTTCCCTATCAAGTGAAGCTATCTTAATTCCAACATCTTCCGCTCTAAAGGCCGGATTCTCATATGGCTTCAGTTTTTTCTGGGCTTGTACATTGTCATCCCTCCATTGCTGGAATTATATCATGACAGTTTCTATAGAATTCTAAGAGACACCAATCTCCATATTGATTGATGAAGTACGGCAAATCTAGTAAAAATGAATAACACTACCACAAGAATCTCTTCATCCCAAAAATTAGAGGATTCCTCTGATAATCATCTTTTTTTAAAAATAATTTTTTCAATGAAAAGAGTGAATAAAACAGTGGTTAGCACTATTTAATCCTTATTCAAATCTGAAGCCAGTCCTGACCAAACTACTTAAATGAAAACTTGCCCTTCAGCCAAAGCAAAGGAGCATAAGTTTGTTTTAAAATACATAGCTTTAAAAATAAATAAATCAAATATAAAACAAGCATCATTGTTATTTCAACATGTATTAAATATAAAAATTAATGAAATGTTATAATTACTATTTTAATAAGGTTATTAGATAGATCGGCCCAGCCGTATCAAGAGCGTTAAGAGAAGAACCTTTTCATTATGATATCTGAAGATGTCTATCATGCATTTTCAAAAATTCAATGAAAGTCACCAGCGTCACCGTAGCCTGCTAGCATTATTATCTACAAACGTGTAATAGTATTGATTTTATAGGCTGGTTTCCGATGTATCTTCAACTATAAAATCATCACTATTACTTTATCCATTAGTTTCAATAAATTTATCATAATCAAGAACATCAACCACTACAGTCTTCACATTGTAAAGGTTTACAGACATGGAGAGCTTTTTGTTACAGGTGTTGCATTTGCCAAATGCTTTGAGAATAAAGATTAACATTTGCTCTAAATCTCGAGATTCTAACTCACCTTAGTTTCATTAATAAGTTTCTCCAGCGTGTCCAGCTCAACCTGAGTAAATATCGGGTCATCAATGTCAGTGATGTTTTTAATGGTAGCCAAGAAGACAATGGTTTGATTGAGTGCACTCTTCAAGGCAGCCAAAGCTTTTGGTCTCTCCTCTAATTCATAGACTCTTCTGCTTAGTTCTTTAGTTAGTTCCTTTAGTGACTTCAATTTAGCTGTGAAATCCTGAGGAAATGGTCATAAAATTAATATCAGCCAAAGTCTAATTATGTTCAAATATTGTGGGGAAAAAGTACTTTAAAAATATCTGTGAAAGACTTTAATTATGATTTAAGTATACTTACAGCTTTCTTGGTTTCTATAGGCTGATCATACAGCCAATCAGATGCCTCAGAAAGCTGGCCTCTTATTTTCTCCCTCTCTTCCTCAGTTGAACATTTCTCATGAAAGTCTCGACTCAGTTTGTCTTGAAATTCAAAGATAAAAGCCTCCAATTCATTCTTGGATTTCTCCAGCTCTGATTTCTCTTTGTCGACTCTCCTCAGCTCAGACAACCTCAACAAGAAAAATAGGAAACAGTCAAAAGGGCCACATTTTGTCTTCTTCTACAAACCTACTAATGCTTGTCTCTTTATATGAATGGTTGTGAGACAAAGAGAACTAATTTATCAAGAGACAGTTGCTGTCAGCTGTGAGTCTACAATGTAAAATGGTTGGATAAGTTTTGATCAACTGAAAAAGATCACAAAACTGATCATATGGGGACTAAAAGTCAAACTTTAGATGGATAGGACAATAGTTTAAAAAGAAGACAAAGAGTTGCTTATTGAAAGAAAAACTTCTTCACCATGACCTCAGGCTGAAGGGGACATGCCCATGTGGCTACCGGATCGGAATGATGAGGAATAAACAAATAGTTCAAAATGGAGAAAAATTGGGCAAAAATAAAACAACATGGATAGTCCCGGCTCCACTTGGAAAAAACACAATAAAAAAAAGAAATTTAAGTAATTTATAGATTACCTCTTCTTAGCACTTAGCAATTGCAAATTTGTCCTGACAAATTGAAGTAGTTTATATAGTTACCTCTTCTTAGCAATTGCAAATTTGTCCTGAGAGATATTTCTAACATCTAAGATTTCCTCCTCTGTTTTGATCATTTCTTTGAAGCTGACAATTTTGGGCCCCTTTTCTTTGGTTTGGTTCACTTTTTGCTCAGTATCATCTGTTTTCTCTGTGCCTTCAGGCTGAGGAGGTTGTAATGAATGTTATAGTCAATTATAAATCCCTGTGTTACAATAAAAATTATTATATGTATGGAGCGTAGGCCGATGTATTACAAAAATAATCGTGTCTTATCAGGTTTTCTATGCTCTAAGTACAAAAATATTCTATTTATAAATAAAGAATCCTACTTCGCTAAAATGCACTTATCGCGATAGAGTCTGGAACTGATTAACCGCGATGAACGAGGGATGACTGTAATAGTTATACTATCCATTTTTAAGAATTTAGCCAATATGAAAATGTATTGTGCTAACGAAGAGAAAGTCAGTCTGGTCGAACAGCAAATTTAATGTTAATTTTTCTACAGTGTGCTCCAGAAGGCCCTGTAGGTATATAAGGAAACGGCCTAAATAATGTCAGTTTGCTGATTTGAGTTTAATTCGGATGATGTATTGTGGGAATTTTTTCGCTATGGTGTAGAAGGAACCAGATTTGAATAGGGCTGAGTTTTTTTTTTACGAAAGTCCCATTCACTTAAAGATAAAAAAATTTTAAATCTCTCATGGAATCGTTCTACCTTTTTTTCAAACATCACTAATGTATGCGCGAAAATATTGTTCTGGAGAGACCCATTATTTACAACTGCCCTACAAATTACACATGGTCACGTGGTAGCTGGAGCTATGGACTGTTGACAAACGAAAGTACACGTTCAAGATGTGGGATTTCACTACTGCTAGATTTAACGCATACTGTAATATAACCTTTACATCAACACGTGCGTCATATAAAAATTAAGAATAGAAGCGAAATCATTTGAAATAATAAGGAAATAGTAGAACAAATTATGTGGCAACTTGAATCAAAAGATTTGGCAATAAGATATGCTGAGAAAGCCTCTTAGACGAAAGGTTCACATCTTATTGTCCTGACTTTTGATTCAAGATGCCACATACCATGTTCTACTATTTCCTTCACAGGCATTATTGCAGTCCATCAATAATCAGCATAATTATCTTTTCCTTTAATAAATGTTTAATTTTTCCTAACAACTGTAAAAAGTTTCTTCACAAAGTAATATTAAAACTATTTTATGATGTTCTTCAAATGTGAAGATTTGTTCTTAAATGGCAATATGTTTAAAATGAGGAGACAAAAAGGCTTACCTTTTCATCTTGACTATCTTTCTTATCCTGCTTGTCCTCGGTCTGTGTTTTCTCACCAGGTTTTTCAGTCGTTGTTTCCTCTTTCTCTTGTTTGACTTCTTGATCTGCTGACTTCTCCTGGTCCCTTCCTTCTCCCTCTTCAGTTTTATCCTCAGCTTGTTCTGTCTGATCATCCTAGCCAATGAGAAACGTCCAACATTATTCTCAAAATTGAGCATCAGATCATTTTCTATCCTAGCTAAATTTTCAAGTTTTTCAAAGAATAGCTATGATTCTTGTCAATAAAAATTGATTGGGGACAAGGAGACCAACATTTCCCCCATGGATTACAACACAGAAAAACTGCTGAATTTGTCAACTTTAACATTTACTTTTTTAGACAAATAAACCTCTATTCACTCATAATCAGAAATGCCCACTGTTCTTGTGACAAAGCGTTGATCACAGTCAAAACCAACACAAAGCTAACGACTCATAACTGGCATTGAATTATTTACATTATTTTTATAAAAATCTTTCACAAAATGAAGGACATAGTAAGAGTTGTTAGAATGGTCAATTAATTTTAGGTGGTATTTTGTTAGACTGTTCAATTAATGCCAGGTGGTCAGTTGTTAGAACAGAATCCAACTACTATTTGATCAGCTTCAGTTACAGACATCTTCAAATGCAGATTTGAGACTAGAGATCTGACATGTACCCTGGGAGACTAGAGATTTAACATATAACCTGTGTTCCTGATTTTAATAAAGCAATAGATCAATATATCGACATTTTTATCAAGCAATTGAAGAAGAGGGTAAGATATTATTACAAAATACCACATCCATTTGTACATGGCATTTCCACTAAATTTCCCTCATGCTAACAGACATTGTTTAAAAATGAAAGAAAATTCTGGATCCTTATTTTTGCTACAAAATTCATTTAGAAAAAGAAAACAGTCAGCTGTAGAGTTTTTGAAAGTTTTCAGAAATCTCTGTCAGATTGTCTTGAGATTAAATAAAACCATATTAAAGGTCATATTGCGTGCAGATATAAAATAATTGTAAAATAAGCCAATATAAAACACTGAATCTAAGTGTAGCCGTGATTTGCAAGTCTAGACGTGTTAATAAAGATTTTTCTATGTTGTTACAATAAAGAGAAGCGGTGATTAAATAAAACACCTTTGGCTGACTTTCTGACGATTTAGCCGTGCTCTCATCAGCTGAACTTTTACTCTCCTCCCCTTCCTTAGGTGCAGTGCCGTCAGTGTCATCACTGGCACCTCCAGCAGAGCTCTCCTCATCACCTGGCTGCTGTAGCATGCAACATTCAAGGAATCAATTGGTCGGACTCAAAGAATAATGGACATGCTCAAATAAAAACCAATGCCTTCAAGTAATATCTTTAAAAGACATTAACAAAAATTATAAGGTCATCTACAAAGAAAATCAGGGGAAAGAACAAGAAAAAAAACAATTAAAAAAAACACTCCCTCTAAGTAAGGACAGAAAGTTTGAAAAGTTATTTGTTCCTTAGAATTTACCAGCATGGTCCCTGAAGTTAGAAAATCAAACACATAGGTCCACATAGGTCAATATCAGCATTATAAAGATAGGTTAGATAACGGGATTCCTGGTTGTCTATGAAAAATAACTTTAAAGTGTTCTACCTTAACATAGTCCAAGTGTTTAATATTTGCTAATCCAATAGGAATAAAAATTGAAATGCCTTACAAAGCAAACTAAGTCTATACCACTTTGCTTTGTCCCATTATCTGGGGAAGACCCGCAAATTAATTTGCTTAAAGAAGCAGGCCATTGTGTCATAGGGCTGACAAGTAGCATACTAATTTCTGTTGAACTTTGATCTAATGAACTAATCACTAAACAGGATGAGACAGCTAGTCTACAATTATTAAAACATGCAAATACAAAAATAATTTATGCAGCCACTTAGCAAATACAAAGCATTATTCCATCCAATCCTTTGAAAAAACACATCCTGTACACCATATATCCACTAACATCAAAAAGTTCTATGAATTTTAAGAAAGTTACAAGAAAAACAACAAACTGACCTCTGGTTCCTGGGAATCCTCCACCTTATTCTCCTCCTCTGCTGTACCACCCCCAAAAAGTCCTCCAATGGCACTTCCTAGCTCTGAATAGAGAAAATAGCATCACACATGACATAATGACGACCAACAAACCCTGAATAGACAAAACCAAATGAACTTTAGTTCAATGACTGGATGAATTCAAGTCAAGGATAATTGAGCACATCAGTGCCAAGAATAAAGTTGAATAAAGAATAAGTTGTCAACTATGTCCTATAAGTACACATGCTTGTACTTGATACTTCAGCTTATGAATAATCCAAGACTCGTATCTTAAATAAAAAGGATAAAAACCCATTAATTAAGTTTCAGCTGATGACATTAAAATCCTGACTAAAAATTGTTACAAAATCAATATACTCTGGCTAAGACAATTTTTAACTTACTCGACCAAGTAGATTTTTCCTCTGCATCAGTACCATTCTTTTCAAACACAGACTCTACCTAAAAATGAAACATATTACCATTTGAAATGCCTTCATACCTTTAAAGAATATACAAAATAAAAATTCCCAATAAATGTGCATCAAATTTCTGTTAAGCCTCATATCCTACCTAGTTTATATTGGTAGCAGTAATTGCATTGTTGGGGAAAATGCATGGGTTATTGGACTCAGCAGTGAAAAAATGATTGAATATTTTGAGGGTCCATACATTGGTTCTCATAACAAGATATATGTGGTGCAAAGCATGTCAGGAAATAACTTACATTTAACGAATTAGATTTTTAACTTTATATTTATCAGAATTATATATCAGAATTGAAATAATCAGACAATGAAATCCTCATAATTGTTTAGGAGTTGGATCTCAATCCATCATCATGTGCTCAAGTAATTAATAGCTAAACAATCATGTGTCAAGTATTTATTAGCTAAACAAGCATCAAGACATACCCTGTCCAATGTCAAAATACCACTGCCATCCATTTGGAAATGTGCTTTAATACCCTTTGGCTCTTTATCCTTATTTCTGTTCAGAGTGTCTTCAATGCCAATCAGGCTAAATTTACTAATGAGTGGGGTGCCAAATGATCTAAAATACAAAAACAAATTGAAAAGTGAAGTTAAATGGTTAGATATAAATAACAGAGAGTCTGTTCACTAATGTCACCTATTTCCCCTACTTTCTTGACCAGACCAGGGGGGGGGGGGGGGGGGGGGTATGGATTAATACTAACAAAACTTAAGACATAGCTAAACAATCCTAAATATAATAGATATATAAAAATAGTGGATTACTGTGTCATTTTACTGCTAAAATTAATGATTTTAAAGAAATTAGATTTTTATCAGTAAAAAAAAAACAGCTATCAAGCAGATTTCCAGCACTGTTCACCACAGGCAGGGTGTAGCCTTACCATTAAGTATTTCATGGAAACTAACCTTCTATCATCCTCAGTCAAGAACTCTAACCCACTGTAAGTGACGCTGAAACTGAAGTCTTTGGTGTGTTTGTTAAAAGTCATGACTTTTTTCTGAGGAAATGGGTTCATACGACCGAATAAAGTACGCTTGATAAGTTTAGATTTATCGCCTCCCTCTTTGCCATCATCTTCAGACTTCTGTCTCTCAAACTCTACCTGTAGGACACAAAGAGTATTATGACAAACTCTACCCGTAGGACACAAAATGTATTGTCAAATTAAATAAAGGCAAATTTTTTCGTTCAAGTTAGTAAAAAGTTTCCGAGGTAATGGATATTGAATAAAACTGAATGCATTGTTAGCAAGACGGCACACATTGAAGTTTAATAACCAAGTACAATATTATCCATTGATTCTGTGATTGATGAACTGTGGTCTCAATTTAAACGAAGTAATTTTATTTTCTCACAAGTTGTAAAGTGGTGTTAACCAATTCCTGCGTAATCTACTTAAATAAAAACATATCCTCCTGTCTAAGCAAAAGGAAATATCTCTGCTTTGAAATTTGAATGATATTTTTTAAAAAGGAATGCTATTTAAAGGGATGTCAATGATATTTAATTTTTATGAAATAAAAAAAAATGAATTAAATGTTAAATTCACAATAAAAAATAAACAAGGTTATTTAGAGAAGAATATTTAAATTATAAGTTGCATTTTCAAAAACTTCTCAACCTGTGTGCAATAGAATTGATTTCTATAGTTTTGATATATATTGAACTATAAAATTTTACCACTTTCTACATAAATTTTAATAAAGACTACTTCAAACTGTTAGAGTGTATCATGATGAAAGCTTTCTAGTCTATTAAGCTTAGCAGCTAATTGCGAATTAGCTTGGAAAGTGCGACAGTGAATTTTAGCGGATAAATGTAAGGTAGTTAAGTCGCTAAATGGCCCAAAAGAACATTTATTGGGCCGGACCAACCACTGCTCGGCTTTGTAAACAGGAGGTGGTGGGAATTTGGGACAGGAAAACGGGCGCTAAGGAAGTAGAAGGTCAAGTTATAGAAATCATAAAAATTTTCTAAAAAAATTTAATTGAAAACAAAACACAAATTAAATAAAATGTTGACAACAAATTAAAACAATAAGTTTAATGTAGGGGCCCTACAGATAAGAATATTATCAAAATACTATGTTGATATGGTAAATGTTTCTAATCCGCACAGTACTTTAGCAATATCACTACCTTGAGTAGATGTTAAAAGGGTAAATGCTTTTAATTCATCCAATCTAATAAAGGTACAAACAATCCTAAGAACTTACAACACCACTAGCTTACGTTAGCTTACGTTTATGGGGTAAATGTTTCCTTCTCGAACTCCAAATTTCTTGACTTTAAATCCCTTGCCAAGGTAGGCTGCCTGGTACACAGCTCCCATTGCAGCTGCTTCATCAGTGTTGATACTTTTACCTAACTCAGTTCTGGCGGTCAAGTTTTAAAATGAAATCAGCCAAGAAAAATAAGGCGCTTTTAAAAGTAAAATTCATAAATCTGATTCAAACTCTTTTTCTTCAATTTTGTTACATCAAGGGTTAATAAGTTAAAAATAAAAAAGATCATCATAAAAAATAGAAGAAATAAAATGAATCAAGGACCAATTAGCAAAAGTTGTAAAATTAAAGTTTGAATAAACCTAAACATTTAAGGCCACATGACTACACAAGATACAAGTGTCAAGTTTGGTTTGATGACTTTAAAAATGGTATGACATCTGTATCTACAAGACTTTGGCTTTTAAAAAAAATAATGCGTTCAAGTTATACCTTCCCAAGTATTTCATGAGAAGCTCTTGTACTTTAGGCATGCGGGTACCACCACCCATTAAGATGATTTCTGTAATTTCAGGCTATGAGAATAGAAACAAAGACATTGAAAAAGACAGTATTCAGCTAGAACTTCGCCCATAAACTGTCCTAACCGCCCAATGCGGGTCCAATGGCTCCTTTTGTGGTGCTAGAATGATATGATAAGCATCTACTAAAATTAATATAAATCTGAATCAGAAGGTTTGGGTCTTTTTAAGGGGGATAACTAACAAATTATTCCTATTTATAAAAAACTAAGGCTGAAAAGCTTATTTAGATGATAAAAATGACCCAACAGTCAGTTTGGGTGTGATTTGAACTCACTGTTGAAAGATTAAGGTCATATTCATTTTACATAGCTCACAGAGATTCCCTGTCCAATTTACTCTCAGGACATCTATACTTATATGGGACTCAGGGTTTATTTTCTATTAGTATTAAGTAGTTTAGTGATAAACATAAAAGATATTAAAAAAGAGTGGACACCTTAGTGCATTTGATTGTTTGTGGGTTTATACCCTGCACCCCTTATATGAATGAGGTTTGAGAAAGATAAAAGTATTTAGTTACACTTAACTGATTACTAACATCAGCTATATGTGTATATGGTTCTAAATATCTCAGATTTTGAAATCATCATATTGTTTAAATAGGAGTTGGATCTCAACTAATCATCACCGATATTTAGGAGCATTGGTCAAAATTGTACTCAAGTTATCACTGATATTTAGGAGCATTGTACAAAATCGTAATCTAAGAAGGTAAAAAATTATAAGAGGATAAAATGTTGCATGTCTATGCAAGAACTGGTGTCAAAGTGGTCAGCTGTTATCTACTACACTAGAACATTTATTATAGACAAGCAAACATACCAATGTTATTTCAGACACCTTCAGAGCCTCTTCAATAGGATTGGTAACTCTTTCAATGAGATCTTTAGTCAGCTCTTCAAAATCTTGCCTTGTTACAGGAGCTCGGAAATCTTTCTCATCCAATAAATTTTCAACCTAAAAAGAACAAATTTCAAACATTTCTGCCACTGAAATTTCAAAAGTTCATTTGGGGGGGGGGGGTGGTTTTGGTCGCCAACAAAGTTGTACATGTGATTTATTTGCTTTTGCATTCAGGGTAGAGATGACCAGATCTTGAGAAATTGCCCTGATAAGGTTACGGGCAGATCCCTGATTATGTGACATCACTACACTGGCTGGCACTAATTATTATATATTATAATAAATGTAATGATAAGCTTAGAGAACACAGTATGACTAGCATTTTCCAACACCTAAAAGCCCAATTTCAGAATACTGTATTTAATAATATATTTGATGAAGTCTTATTGTCAGTTTGAAAAACCTCATAGTCGTTTGTAAGTATTACTTACTTGGGCAGTATGGTCAGCATTGGCACTGAGAACTTTCTTCACCCTCTCTGCCTCCTTCAAGAGTTTAGCCATAGCCCGGCTGTTTTCTTCAACTTGAAGCTTTGTTTTCTTCTGTTCATTGAACAACTTGGCCAAATGACCACGCAGCCTCAGGGTAAACTCAAGACCACCCAAACTGCGGTCGAATCTATTGAAAACAAAGTAAGATAAAATAAATGGGAGGAATTTACGAGTAAAAACCAGATTAATACAATACACTTTTCATAAAAAAATTTTAAAAAAGCAAATCAACCAATTAATTGCCATTTGGTTGGGAATGTTTAAAGATTATCTTGGATTCTGAATACTTTTTTTAATTACAAAGTCAAAAAAAATTTAAAAAATAAAAAAAATAAAAAAAATCTATAATTTACCACGTTTAAAACAGACGCAACACTACAAAAACTAATTACAAGCATACAATGTCAAAGTCTTTCTACCCATTTCAACCCTAAGCAACACAGCCATTGTGCATTAATGGGAAAATATGGTAGACAATCATTCCAGAAGGTGTTTGGGAAATAGATGTGTCTTTAACTCGGTTTTAAAGGACTCCAGCGTCTGGTTGTTTCTGAGAGCGTTTCATATATAAAACGTTGAAGTGTCTGCTCCTCCTAAGCTCTGCCAGGAGCCAGAATGATCCTGGGGTCTCAAAATATAGCAAAAGATAATCAAAAATAAAAAACAGCTTACCCTATTCCTCTTACAGTCAGCTGTGGGTTAGACTCAAGGCGAGTTCCCTCTTTTGACTTCACCACATTGTAACCTAGGATAGAGTTGCATTGCAATTTAATCTCCTGACATCACAACATTGAAACCTAGCAACAAGAGTTACATAACAATATAAACATTGTATCATAAATTGAAATTATTGATTTCACTTACCAACAATTGTTGCTGTGGTACTAGTAGAGCCCATGTCATAGAACATATAGTATTGAGTAGTACTGTTGAAGTTTTTGCGACGGAAAACTCCATAATTTAAGGCAACTACAAGGTAAAGAAATGTATACTATTTTAAGCAGGCGTTATGTGTATTTGAACTCTTAAATTAATCAAATAATAGTGGTGCAAGTTTAAAGTCTAACAAAGTGCTGTAAAATATATATTTCAATAAAAAGTAACATATCCACTAAACAGGCAATGAATCAGCTGAATTTCAGCTTTATATAAAACAACTCATCAAGTTGAATAAATAATTAAGTCTAGTGATAGCGAAAATTATTTATTTACCTGCAGCATTATCACTCATCAGTTGCAAAACATTTATCCCCACCAACTTAGCAGCTGCAATCACAGCCCTTCTTTCTGCCTGGTTGTAGAATGGAGGTACTGTGATCACTGCATCTTTTATCTCTTGTTCTAGGATTTCATGAAACAAATCAATGCAGAACTTAAAATACACAATTTTAATGTTCAAGTTTAGCTACAAAATTCAGCTCCATAAGCGCATCTTATTTATTTCGGATATGTACAAGACCCATAGTTACTATGTTGACGTTACTAAATATTAAAAAGTATGAAAATTCAATCAAGAAAAATTATCTTAAAAAATGAAGAAATAAAACAAGCTGGTTATTATTTAAAAATATATTAATTAATTAAAAATTTATTCTAGCAGCACACAAATGACAGCAAGGTAAAATCAGGCATAATGAATGTCTACAAAAAAAAAAAAAAATACCAGCAAAGTCTTGAGCATATTCTTTAGCCTTCTCTAAGATCATAGCCAACAGTTCTTCAACACTGTAGATGGTTTCACTAAATAATAAAAAAATAAAACAAGCTGGTTATTAATTAAAAATATATTAATTAATTAAAATTTATTCTAGCAGCACAAAAATGACAGCAAGGTAAAATCAGGCATAATGAATGTCTACAAAAAAAAAAAAAAAATACCAGCAAAGTCTTGAGCATATTCTTTAGCCTTCTCTAAGATCATAGCCAACAGTTCTTCAACACTGTAGATGGTTTCACTAAAGTGAGGTAGAAATAATCAAAATTATAAACTATCCAATGGGATATTTTACAACAAATGTATTATTTCGGTTCAGCTCATCTCTAAAATACAGAGGTTTCTATAATGTATTATCAACAATAATTAAGTCAAACAAATACATTTAATCCCAGTACTATCAAATGCATATTTCTCTAATGTATTAAAATTTTCATGTTTGTCAAAAATGACAAAATCCCATACTAAAAGAGGTAAGAGACCCTAACAAGTATACATTTTCTGCAAGTACCTTGGACAAGGTATCTTATGGTATGAAAATAATATGTTTCTCTATTATGTATGTTGATATCACCTTGACAGCGTGGGTAAAATTACTACTCAACTTCTATATCCAACTTCAACCCACCCTAATCTCACTATTTTTATTTATCTATCATTACATCAGGTTTTGCAGATAAAAGAAATTAATGCAATAAAGAAAGTCTGTGTTGATTATGCAATCTAAAACATCTCCAGCATTAGACATAACAGCAACCAAAAAAAATTAGCAAAATTCACTGATTAATCACAAAACAAGCCCAGATAAAATTGCACATTTACACACGGATAGAAAAGAAAATAGGAAGCAAACAGGCAACTTATAAAGGGATAACAAATGTATATAAATCATTTACATCTTTAAAGGTGATTTCACCAAAGAAAGGGGTATAACAACCAATCATTTGCCATGATGACAGTTCTAGTGCTAAATAGAAAGGAATGAGCATTCATCATTTCGTATTGTGAACAAGCTAGAGCAACATGTAATGCCAGGAGTCTCTTCAAAATCTATGACATTAAATTGTAAACTTAAAGGTTGGAAGTAGAACCAAGAAAATTAAAGAATTTGCTCACTGCCACCATCATATTTTTAAATCTACTAGAGATTATCTGTTTTACTTCTTTACATTAATTTTTTGTTAATAATTTCTGCAATATATAATTTTTAACAGCATCTCTATAGCCACAACTAGAACAATATAATCCAACACATACTCATCAACCCTGAATAGGATAGTCCCCCTCTCCTCATCTTTCAACATGTCGTAATAGGGAAACCTTTGTCTGAAAAGCTCCACCTGCGGGTCATCAAATTGTCTGCCAATAATTTGCATGAGGTATCCAAATGCTTTCTGTGGAAACTTCAGAGCCTGCAGGAGTTTTAAAAAATTAAATGTTATAACAAATCTTCAAAAATAATAAAATTAGTTTGAAAAATAATCCAGATGTGGATAGGTGAACAAACAACAAACTTAACATGCTACATCTGGGTTTGTGAGATCCCAATGCAGCAACTTTATTTTATTTTGACGCAGTAACTTTAATTTATTTTATTTTTGTAGATTCCATAAAAAAAATATTTGTGCTTAAAGCATATAAAAATAATTATGAGACAATAAACCTTTTTGTCTCATAAAATGTTCATTATACGAAAATTTTAAGAGCTGTACTAACCGTAGTTTGAGCTTCACTGGCAAAATGTCTCTCTCCATCCCTAAAAGCAACAAGTGTTGGTGTTTTCCTGCTTGACTCCCTAAAAGAAAATATTTTTAGTTGAGCATAAGATTCTTCACAGTTTAATAGAGAAAAAGAATGATGCACTGGAAAATGTGATCAGAAAATGAAATCTTCATTGTGATGTAAGAGTTGGATCTCAATAAATCATCATAAGTCATGACATCTTTAAATGTCTAGAAGGACAGTACATTTTAAATACACTAGGAACACTCCACATAAAAATGAATCATACACTGTTTCTGTATGAAAATCATAGTACACCACAGCAGACACTTATTGTTGGGGGTGTGCCGGATCTGTTTTTTCCAACTGGATCCGGATTTTCTTATGCGAAATCCGCCGGATCCGGATTATTCCGGTACTTTGCAGATACCGGTAAATCTGAGGGGTTTGATGCCTTCTGAACAGTTGGCCTAAATGGCTAAATGACATTGGCTGATTGGAAGTTGGAAGTAAAGAACTTTGAAATAAATTTATTTCAGATTATGATCCAGTGAGTCACAAAATCTGTCAAATTCCGAAATCCGGTATATTCCGGATACATGTAAATCCGGCGGAACCGGCACACCCTACTTATTGTTAAGTTAAGCTTTACAATAACTAATTGAACCTTCAAAGATAATAAAATCCAATCAAATTAATAATGAAATGCCTGATATAAAATGTTTTTAATAAATGGAAAAAAAACATAGTTTCATGATACAATATCTATCATCAATAGTAAAAATGCACACCCACCACATCATTTACTAATAATATTTAATAAATTCTGAAACACCACATACAAGAAAATACACATTTTTTTTATTGAACATTTGACCTATACCTAGTACATGTTATTAACAGGTTAAAATTAGATTTGGATTATGAAAATTGAATCATTGGACATACAAAAATAATTAACAAATCAGAAAATGAAATCCTCATGTGAAAATAGGAGTTGGATCTCAATACTCATCATGATAGTTACACATTTATCATTCAGTTCATTAAATGCAAGTAAAACAACTAACAAACGATACTCTAAAAAATCTAGAACTTACTTGTTCAGAGCTACTTCCATTGGAACACCTGGCTGATAGAAGAATAAAAAAGATAATTCAAAGGTAAGTAGAAGATGCTTTTAAACTAGATAGTGACACCTTCTTTTGTCAGTTCTGCATGGGAAAGTTTAATTCAACCGTATTAACAAATCATAAAGTGAAATCATTAGTAAAAATATTGCGATGGATCTTTATTTTAGCAGAGAATACATATTTTTTTTAATCCAAAAACTTGCAAGTCACGTCAACTGTATATTTTTTTAGTAGCTTGTCTAAGGACAAATAAAATAAATATAAATAAAATCTTCACAGGAAATTGGAACATTGGTTAGGGAATAACAAATGATATATTTATAATACCTTTACTATTGCTACTTTGAAGTATTCTCCACCAAGATCAATAGACATGACAGCCAAGCGACCTGAAAATAATCACACATGTATAAATTATATTTAAGGAAATGTTCGTGAGTTCTTGTACCACCACTTATATTAAGAACATGGAAAGCAAATAAAAAATGTCACACAATTATGCTGAGACGCTGAGGTGTATAAATTTATGACAGAAACGTACCTGAAACTGCTGATATGAAAGCAAAAGCTAATATGCCAAGCAAACATGAATCCATGTGTCTTTTCTTCATGGTTCTTATCTTCACCAAGTTTATTAAGCTTGCTTCAAAAGGTTACTGTGAATAAATAAAACCGGTTAAACAAACAAAAACATGTAACTATATGGTTATTCACTGACTGTGAGCTTTAACGCCCATAAGCGTAATAGATTTGTAGATTTATAATAATAACCAGAAAGTCACTATGGCATGTTACTACGATTAATCTTTATTGAAATGTTTAAGTACAATTATAATTATATAAGTATAGTCATTTTTAATATTGGGGCCTACTCCTGACAAGTTTTACATCAGCGGTTCTCAACCTGTGGGTCGCAACCCCTTTGGAGGGCCAACGACCCTTTCACAAGGGTCGCCTAAGACCATCGGAAAACACATATACTCTACAGTTATGAAGTTGCAACAAAGATAATTTAGTGGTTGGGGTTCGCCACAACATGAACTGTAATAAAGGGGCCTCGGCTTTAGGGAGGTTGAGAACCACTGTGTTACATGAAGGTCCTACTCCCAAATTATATATAAAAGCTTTGGCAGCACAGACACTGCTATTATATAAGTAAGTTATGATAGACACAGCACTGTGATACTTGACACATTCCGTTCCCAAGAAAAAACCAACACAATCCAGGCACTTTGAGCAGATGTGACTTGTTAACTACATGGTTTACGGCTATGTCATAAAATATTGCAGATGAAGTCCCATTGACATTATGACTTAATTATAACTAAGGAAGATTCCTGAAACTCCTGAAAGTTCTTCTCTGCAAGGGTTAACTGCTGGCTAAGAAACTGTTAATTTTTTTTTAAATAATAAAGAGGCCTGACATGTTTCATTGTTTGAAAAAGACATCCAGTGAGCAAAATTACATGTCTATCTTCTTGTCTAAATGGATGCCCCACCAAACCCCCAAAAATGCTTTAAAAACCAAGATGAAAGCACTTTATGTATCTCAGAGCAATTGAATATATTAACATGTTCACCATTTATTTATTATCTAGGGATCGGAATATCAAATGCAAAGCAACTATTTTGCCCGTGACACTTGTCACATGACGTGCAGGAATAATAACACCTACTAGTTGTTGGCGGTCATGTGACATGCCAGTTGGACGTACATCTCCCGCACTATTTGTCTGTAGACACTTCGTTTAAGTTTCAGAGGTTCCGTTTAAGTTTCAGAGGTTCCGTATTCCGTGTTACTCATAATGTGCCTAAATGGTGAGGTTTTGACCAAACATTTTTTTAAAGATTGCACTATTCACTAATTCCAGGCCAGATTAATTATATGATTTTGAATTCAAGCAACATAAAGTTTACCATAAAAGAACAATTTAGGTGTGTAAATTATTTCTTACAGAATTTCACCTTAATCATGAACTGAATGTAAACTTATTAAAACTGACTTCTTACCCACATTACAGCCCACAGGGCAGTCATTTTCTTTCCAGTTTGTCTGTTTTTTCAATCAAGTATTCGAATTAAATATTATTATTGAACTTATTGTTAACACGAACTGATTCCTCTCAATCTCATTAATACAGACTAAGACTGTGAATGTGGGAGAGACGATTTTATAAGCTGGTTTGCTACACGTGGTTTACTAGGACACTCAACTGTCTTCTTTGTAGCAGTTGAGTTGTACCATGTCCTATGAATGCACATGCTAACAGTACGGAGGTAGTACTGTACAACATGTAATTCCCGAAAGTCGTAAAGAGTACTATCCATTTTTTTAAAATAAAAAAAACTTAAAAGACACGATTGTGACATGAAATGTCTGATATAAATAAACGTTGCCTTATGTACGTTCAACATCAATAAATAATGTACGCACCTAAAATGCACTCTGACCGAGTTTACTTACCTTTGTCACCTATAAATAAAAAGAGACACAAAATATAAAACTTTGAAATATTTAAGATTCTAGAAAGTCAACGATTCTTTCAACGTTTCTTTCAACTCGCCGGTAAACAATCGGAGTACCGACCGTGGCGACACGTGATTGGTTAATAATTGCTTTCCGCTTGAAATTTTCTAAACTTACACGTCGGCTTCCTGTTCACCTTGCATCATATTATTTTCGCAGCTTTCGACTTAAAGAAGATCAATCTCAAAACAAATTTCTAGTTTTTGTTACATTTTAGAAATAATAGCACTACTTTGTCGTTAAAAGAATAACGCTGGTACCTACTCATGTTGAGATTTAAATAAAGTCCGATTAAAATTAGACATTTCTGTATTAAGTCAAGGGTTGCATTTTTTTGTGCTTTGGTATAATAGTATAGTATAATATTAAGTCAGTGGTCGATAAACTCATTGTTCAAAAGAGCCTGACATCAACAGCTGGAAGATTTATTATTTTTTTGGAGAGCCAAAATTCTTTTCAAGAACCTCTGAAGAAACCATGTTTTTCGGAGTCAAAAGCGATTTGTGGCCGAGCCGCATTCATGTCGCTCAAGAGCCGCAAGCGGCTCGCGAGCCGCGATTTTCCGACCACTGCATTAAGTGATTGAAGGATGGCAGTTTCAGTCTACAACAGTTTTTATTTTCGTAAAACTGCTACAAGGGAAAAGAAACAATGTCAGCTCTGCTAAGATCAGAGATCCCGTTGTCGTCCACTGTCAGAGACCTTGGCTTATGTATTGACAGTACATTTAGAATGATTCCCTATATCAGTTCTGTGGTCATGACATACTTCTGTCATCTGCGCGCCCTGGATCAGCTGCGTCCTCAACTCAATAAGAGAACAGCCAATGCTGTAGCGGTAACTCTAATCCAGTCAAGATTAGATTACTGTAACAGTTGTTTGTCGGGTTACCTCAGAACTAAATTCAGAGACTCCAGAAGGTAAAAAATATTGTATCGTTGATAAAGAAATCTGATCACATCACACCAGTTCTTCGAATCTTCATTGGGTTCCTGTGAGTGAGCGCATTAACTACAAAATTCTGTCCCTGGCGTGCAGCTGCATAGAAGGCTCTGCACCGGAATATTTCAAGGAACTGATTTATAAACATATATCCTTCAAACGTGCGGTCTTCACCACAGTCCTTACTGAAAATTCCTAGTGTGGATGAACACAGAAAAAAGTCTTACGGAGTGCACTCTTTTGAATCGTTAGCGCCAAAATTATGGAACAGTTTGCCTCAATCTTTGAGGGGAATTGAAAATGATAAAAAAATCACGTAAGAAACATTTAAAATCTTTTTTGTTTAAATAGATTTAAGAAAACCAATTGACGCCACGTGGGATGAATGTCATGTCTCTTTTCACAGCTTGAACCTAGCTCCGCCTCTCCACGTCCCGACCTATCACAGTGGACTTACTTATCCTCTTTTCTTTCGCTCTTCCCTATTTAATCTCTCACTCACTTACTTTCTGTCACATTTCTTTTGCTGCCCACGGATACTACTTCTAATGTAAGTGCTATTTTTTTATTTTTTTTATACCGTTTTTTGGTGTGTTTTTTTTTTTTGTTTTGTTCGATGACGAAGCCCTTCTGCCGACACGTTCGTTGTTTTTCTGCGTTCCTTTTTTCAGGTTTAACCCTGCTTTGTTTTACTCATTTTATATTAATAAAACCAGAACGCAGCGAGCATGCTATAGTATCATGGATATCAGCGCTATATAAATATACAATCAATCAATTAATAATTATTTTTTTTTTTTTTTTATACCGTTTTTTGGTGTGTTTTTTTTTTTTGTTTTGTTCGATGACGAAGCCCTTCTGCCGACACGTTCGTTGTTTTGCTGCGTTCCTTTTTTCAGGTTTAACCCTGCTTTGTTTTACTCATTTTATATTAATAAAACCAGAACGCAGCGAGCATGCTATAGTATCATGGATATCAGCGCTATATAAATATACAATCAATCAATCAATAAGAGAGGGATATTCTTCCCCAAGTATAGTTATGAAGCCTTGCGGGCAAAAGCACGTTTTTCTGGAAGCCCCAAAGCCCAGGACCCTCCTTTCAAAGACAACTTGTTGATGCCAGCTAGAGGTAGACGACACACAACATATAGGATACACCTGGACGCCCCAAAGCCCAGGACCCTCCTTTCAAAGACAACTTGTTGATGCAAGCTAGAGGTAGACACACACCATATAGGATACACCTGGAAGCAAATTATGTAAAGCACAGGACCGAGATGAATGGGAAATTCGTGTAGACGGCTTATGCCCCAGACGGGGTAAAAGGTATAACTGAACTGGAGTGGTTACCATAAGTCCCCATAAGTCCTTAGATGAAATAGAGAACACTCAAAATTTTCATCATATCCGGTTACCAACCCGTTGCCGGCTCATAAGACTATGTCCATGTTAAGTCATAGGACTACGCTCATGTTAAGTCATAAGATTATCCCCATGTTAAGTCATAGGACTATGCCCATGTTAAATCATAGGACTACGCCCACGTTAATTTATAGGACTACGCTCATGTTATAAAGTCATAAGACTATGCCCATGTTAAGTCATAGGACTGTGTCCATGTTAAGTCATAAGACTATGCCCATGTTAAGTCATAGGACTGTGTCCATGTTAAGTCATAAGACTATGCCCTTGTTAAATGTTGTACAAATAAAAATAAAGTTAAACTACATAAAATAGTGTTCTTATTGTAAATAGTTTTAATTATTGTTTTAATTATTGTATTACATTACACTACATTACATTACATTACATTACACTACATTACACTACACCGACTTTCAAATCTTTTGTTTGTATTGCGTGCACTAACGTAATCAGGGAAAATTGTTTTTAATACCAACTGCGGTCCAAGGCTGCGGGTTTAAAGCTGTGATGGTGTGTGGGGACCATCCATTGGGGACCATCCATGTGGGGACCATCCATGTGGGGACCATCCATGTGGGGACCATCCATGTGGGGACCATCCATGTGGGGACCATCCATGTGGGGACCATCCATGCAGGGTTTCTTTCAGCTAGATCTCGGGGGGGGGGGACACTGCCACCCCACCCTGGAGCGAAAAATATGCCCAACTGGCACTGCCCCCCTCCCCCGAAAGATCTGAAGTGCCTGAAATAATCACTGCGTCCACGTAGTAAATGAGTTTAAAAAAGGCCAACCCCAACAGCGTTGCACGCTTTTTACCCCCCCCCCCATGAGCATGTGCAAAGAAGCTCCCCCCCAAGAAAAAAAAACGAAAAAAAAAATAATTGATAGATACTTGTGACGTCAGAGGAATGCTTAAAGAAGTGTGTCACGTGATTATACTGCTGATGGCTTGACCAATGGTTCCCATAATATACGCCACGTCGCTCTGGGTGCCACACTGGGTGCCAATGCCCTCGGGCAGAGCCACGAGATAGGGGCAAAGAGGGCAGTCACAACGGACGCCAGCATCACGGGCGCCACAATCGTCTTAGATAAGATATTAATATTGTATGAAACTATCAAATCCCATTTACTTCAGAGAGACACGCTGCGCCAAAAATCTTATTTTTTCTGGTCCTCCCAAGGGGGGGGGGGATGGGGGGAACTTTTTCTTTTATTATATTAAGTGACGCCATTTTCCGGCTTCGCCACAGGTGCCACATTTTTCTCGGCATGGCGCCGTCCTGAAATGTCTTACTTTTAGCAGTTACACTTATTGTAATGAAATGTTTTGAGAAACTTATCTCTAATGCAATGAAATATTCGGAGGGACTTATCCTCACTTACCACTAATGTAATGAAATGTTCGGAGAAACTTATCCTCTGACATATTTTGAATGAAGGACAGCAAAAACTTGACCCCCACCAATGTGCTTATAAACCTACCGGAGGTACCAATGATTCCAACTTAGTATCATTGGAAAGACTCTTAGCATCGCTTAGAGAGCACAAAAATAGGCTACGGTGCACCTCCTAGACTTCTCATCAGCATTGAACACTATCAAACAACACCTTAGAATTGATTAAAAGGCTTTTTTCGTTAGTTATAAATTCAAATATTCAAGCGCGAAAACTGAACTTGTTAACCCCATCGCCCAGAAATGTCAAGGTAAATGACCAAATAACATTAACTAGGTTGCATTCCCTCCCCTGTTCGCTATACACTATATACCAATGATATCCAAAACCCAAGCAACACCGTTCCTATGATAAAATTTACCGATGTTACCACCATCGTTGGCTTTAAAGCTGAAGGAGGGAGCTTATACCGCAACTTAGTTACAAGCATTATCCATTGGTGCGATGAAAGTTTT